ATATGGTCGGTTAAAAGCGTCGGGCACGTCAAACGTTAGTGTGCTTTTCGTACATACCCTCCGGCCGAAAAAGTCGAGTTGTTGGCATTGCGTACTGCCTTCTGAGCAGCAGGGCTCGAATTTGGGTTCCATCAACATCCAAAACTATAGAAAATTATTTTTTCTAATTCCGGTCGCTCCTCGGCAATGAATGTCAAGCCGTCCGAGCGTATTTCTGGCATAAACTAGAAAAGTTCCTCATAAAAACCATCGACGGTTCAGGGGTGTCTTGGAATGAACTGTAGGTCCCTCCATTTGTTTTAAAAACATCAAGTCGCATACCACAAATCGATTTGTAGCTTGGTGGAAAATCACTTAGGCACTTACAAAGCGCCAAATCAGTGAAGGAAAGGTGCGAATGGTGGACCTTCGTAAGTTCGGCAATAATCGCGAAATCTGTGCCAAGGAAGAAAAAGAAAAATTTTGAATTTTTTGTATGGTATCGCGGGCATGGCTTACAACTAAACGCATTTTCGATGTTTTTTTATTAAATTTAATTACTGCCGAATCACATTTAACCCACAAATCTGCCCACGCTATTGTTCCACGCTCTTAAGTGATGAATTGCTGGAAAAGAATCTCTTGATATCTCTCTTCTGAGTAAGAAGTTCAAGGAGCCACGTGCTTGAATCTTCATGCTTGCCGCGATAAATATAAGTTTGTAAATTTCTTTGTTTGAACTTGTTATTTTAGAAAGAGTAAGAAAATTTAAAATAACAGTCTTTAAACTTTTCCTTTCACTGAGAAATAAACTGTACGCAAAAAAAAAAAATAACAATAATAATAATAAGTGATAATATGTGAAGATTAGGGTGGTCAACTTTTAAGAAAGTATTTTTTATTTTTAATCGCCGGTCAAATTGTAGGAACGTGACAAGATACCAAGCCTCATTGCAATCGAGCTGACTATAACTGTACAAGTTAGAGCCGCAGTGTGGACTATTTGGTCTTCCCTGAATGACTGTAAGTCTTGCCCTAAGCTCTATTCATCAAACCCACGCAAGAGCTATCTGCTTAAGAACTGGTCGCTAGATGTGTCTATTGCTTCACGTCCGCTTATAACAAAGCCCTCAGCTCGATTGTTAATTGATATCTCTTGACATAATACTCCACCGACGATATTTCCCAGAAGTTATCTAGTCTTAAAAAACAAACACTTTAACCGCCGATCTCCATCGAACGTAAACATCATAGCATGAAATAAACTAAACTATCCTTCCATTTCCTCGGCAGGGAATGTCCACTCCTCCGAGTGTATTTCGAACATGAAATTAAGCTCCTCATAAAAAACTCATTAGCCGTACGGAGGCGGCTTAGTATAAAGGGTAGGTCCCTCCATTTGTTGGAAAAACATCAAGCCCAAAACCACAAATTGAAGAAGGAACTTAAACGAAAATCGCTTCTGCGGTTACAAAGCGCCAATTATATGCATATGCTTCATATAGCCACAGGCTCCAACCAAACCTGAAGCATATCGTGCAATAACTCGAAAGACGTTCACACCCTAACAGAGACATGCTTTTACACGACTAAAATAAATTACCGCGTATAAATATGAAAGGGAAATGTTGATTTAATAAGATTTTGTGCGATGAATAGAAACGTGCCGTCGCTACCGCTACCGTTATTTATATTTATAAAGTGCCAGCTATAAGTGTCCTTCTAGCTGACAGCTCGTCGCATGCCGCATCTTTTGATGGTATGTACAAGTAGTACATACATATATTTATGTAGACTGTCTTCGCGTCTTCCCACTGATCGAAGTGTCAAGATATGCAATTTTGTTTTAACACATCGTTATGCCGACGGTTGCGCACGGTGCGCTTGATCACCCGGTCAGCGAACCAATCAATTAATCAAAAAATAAAAGAAATGCAATGCATAACGGTGTTGCTTTCAGCTTTTCATAAATACGTGTACATAAATCGATTGGCTGGAAAGCGTAGTTGACAATTATCACCTCATGATCACCTCATGATCATCATGCCCTCATTGCGTACTACATACCAGAACCCTCAACGCCGTCAATCTCTACACTTGCTTATGCGTTTCAACACTCGAATTGCCTGCGAGCATTGATGTGGTAGCTTTGTCTGTGCATATTTTACTTTACGCGTAATTATAGTCTGCCATAATTGTTGGCCATTTAACACCTTGTTGACGCGGCACCTAATTATATGATGCGAACAACTATGTGCAAGTAAGCAGTGTGGAGGACTCGTGGACCTGAGGGCATATCGAAAGATGCTTACAATGACATTTTCACCTACAAATTACCCATATGAACCTGCTTTGTATATACGGGAATCTCGTTTTGTTACTTACTTACGTTATGAATTTGATGCTTTAATTGGGCTCGGGCAGAGAAGTTATCAATTTAACACCAAACAAGAAATTGAGAAGCAGAAGTCGAGTCGCTTACTAGTAAAATCATATTCAAGAAATTCTCCAGGTGCGAGCACACACACCTATACGAGTAGACCTTTGGGGGTCGCGATTCTGATAAATCTATTAAAATCTTAAGAAGCTCACCATCTTGGTCTTTATCAAAACAAAGAGAACAATGAAACATTTTCATTGTATGAGGTATACGTAATTTCCTATTCCTATTTCCGCTTTTTAATTTATATTTTTCAAAAATTTTTCAACTTTCACGAAGGTCTTTTGTTGTCTTTGTACTATGTTCCTATCTTAAATACTTCCCAACAGTATATAGGTCTTACTCTCCTGCTACTGTCGGATTCTGAAACACGTTTAGACTCCAGTCGTGAGTGATGCAGTTATCTGACCATTTCTGAATAGCTCAGCCAGTAGACCAGAAGCTTCAGTCGCTTTATTACTCGTTAAACGGGTAATCGCTATTTGCACCTCGTCATAGTCGGGTAATGTTCATTATTATCGCTTGGAGTTACGGCTTCACCATCACCGGATGTTGTATTTTCACTGCCTCTCAGCAGGCTGAAGAAGTATTCCCGCCATACAGAAAGTATGCCTTGGACACCGGTCACCAGATTATCACCTTGGTTCCTACATGTGTATGCTCCGGTCTCGAACCCTACTGTGAGTCACCACATCTTTTCATAGAAGTTTTTAACATTACCTTGACGGTCAGCTTCTCAACCTCTTCATACTCCCGCATCTCGGCCTCTTTTAGTTTTGTCGGCAAATGCGCCTTGCTTCCCACTTCGGCTCTTGGTAGAAAGTCAATTCGAAATTCTAGCACTGCCGTAAACCAATTGCGTAGCGGCGTTAAGTGGGGTGTCTGAGGACACATTTCCCTTATATCGTGTTGCTAATGAGTATTCGGCTGTCTGTTGTAATTGCTGCTTTTCGACGTTGAAGCCTCCTTGTGCGATAATGATCCGAATCGGCATCAGGTTCTCGGAAGGTAGATTGGTGAATTTTCTTCTGTTGGAATCTAGTACTACAGATAACTATATTTCGGGTCCCGGCGAAGTCGTTCGGTCTCCACCCATTTGAAGAAGTTTCGTTATGCACGCTGAATTTTCCGATAATTGTGCCACCTTGGCGTTTAAGTCGCTAAGCGTTATTGTGACATCGTGGCAGGGGCAGCACTCATAAAAGATGTCTTTGGTCACATCGTCCTACTTTTCCGCAGGGGCATGAGCGCAATTTGTTTTTTTTTTTTTTGCAGATTGTGGCGAGACATTCATCCATAGTAGTTAATGGCAGTATTCTGCGTCGGAGTCTCTCCCACCACAAATCAGAAACCAAATGTCCGCTTCCTTAGATAGCCGCTGTAGTATATTTCACATGTGGCCGCCATGTTGTTGCTGTTGTTGTAACCGCAAAGTTATTCCCCAAAGTACTTTTAGGGGAATGTTGCGGGAGTGACAGTCCTTGGCCGGATAAAAATCCGGGTCGTTCCGGTATAAAGCCCCGACTGTCGCGGGAACTATTGGATTTTAGTCGCCTCTTACATCAGGCATGCCTTACCGCGGGTAAATTCTTGAGCCCCTAACCCGCAGGGGGTATGTGGCCACCATCTTTCGTCCCTGTTCCTTTTATCACATATCTTGGACGGCGAAGATGTCAGCCTTTTATGTTATTTAAAAGCTACTACTTTGCTCATTGCTTTCACAAAGTTACACTTAGGCTGTATATAGGGCTTGAAAGACTTTTAAAGTCTTTTCAATCAATGAGGCACTAACGAATTTGAAGAACTCAAAAAGCTCTTTAATTGATTTGCCTCCGATTTGAAATTAGATTCGTTAATATTCACTCATAAACGAATGGATTACAGACTAATAATTTATGCTGCATAATTTTAGGCGTAATACGTTGTTAAGCAGAACACATGCGCCGCAGACCAGAAGTGTAAAAGCATACTTTCAAACATATTTACAACTATGCGCATATATACTGTATATGTACATATAAATACACAAAAATTGCATAGCAGCAGCCAACATCATTCATCCTTCTCATTTCATTTCCCATTATACGTTGCGCAACAGTTGCCAGTAATTTTGGATTTTGCTCTCTTTTTGACCGCAAAAACTTTCATTTCTTGTATAGTTGTTTTTATAATTCATTTTTTTTTTGTCTTCACCTGTTTGTTGAATAACTTTCTTTTTGATACTTTGTTTTTTTTTTTTTACTTTAATCCACTATTTTGGGGGCTAAGTGCGTTTTTTTGACATCTTTTCTATTGAATATTATCTATTATTGAAATAAAATATAAGTAAAATTACTTATTTAATTATTACTATTTTTGTCATAATTTATTTGCATACAAAAACCATTTTTATTTCACTTTTAGATGAGAATTTTACTTCGCAGCAATTAAATATAAACATAACGGCTATAAGGATGAACTTAATACATATATTTCAATTATTTACATTTACAATTTTTATATACGTCATTTTATTTTGTTCAATAGATTTTTATTTAAATTTTTTAAAGAGAAATAAATAAATACGTATATACAAATGTACATACTAGATTATCAGAAAAGTATTTTAACAAAATGGCCCGAAGCGCATGCCAGCAAATCTAACGCATATGAAATACAAATTAAAATATTAAAAAATGCTTTATATCTTCTAGTAAATATAATCGACAACATTTGCGTAGACTGTGTATATCGAAAATGTGATTGATTTACTTATTTTAGATAATAATATCAAAACCCGCTTTAAGTTTATGCCTCTTTCAAAGCATTCTATCGATCCAATCGCTCAAATTACTTAATTGGTTTTCTTTAGCGGAGCATTCATAGAATTGTACATTTTGGTGGAGGTGAGAGAACTCAAAGTCTTTGCCTTCTTTACCTAAAAACACAGTTTTCGAGTCACTTTCCTCTATAACGGACTCCAGCTTCCGACTGCGTGTAATGCGTACGATGTTCCTATAATATAGATATGATAAGCATTATTACAAAACCTTATTAAAATTATTTTCTTACATTTCCTTTTCCAGTATGCTCTTTATTACTTGCGCTCCTTTCGTCGTACTCAAATCTTGTTTGTTACAAAGTATAAGAATCGGACAGGACTGGGTAGCAGCATCCGCTAATATGCCATGTAGTGCACTTTAAAATTAAAAGGATAGTAATTTTAACAAATCACATGCATAAAATATAAAAAAAACAGGTATTTGTGTAACATACTCAGCCACGTCGCGTATTTCTTTTTGAACTGTTGCAGAATCAACAACAAATATTATGCCTTTAGCTGTGCGTTTGTATTGATTAAATGACTTATCCCTCACTCTATAATGTCCAGGAATGTCTACAAGACGACCGGACAACCGACCGGAACAATATTCGCCAACATTTTCTGTAATGGAGATGAAAGTACTTGGAAATTTTTTATGCATCAATTGCATAAAGATCGCTGTCTTTCCAGATTCACTCAGTCCTGTCAAGAGGAAATCTCGCCGTCCTAATGAGCGCCTACGTAGTAGTAATATAATTGCTGCAAATGGTGAATTATATTAAATACTTTTCATTTATTAAGAAAATTAATAGTAAAACATACTAACCCATGACAATAAAGCCCAAAAGTGCAGCGAGAACTATTGAAGTCATACTCATCTCGGATACCGTGGAAGTAGTATTTTCGGGAGCACTTTCACTTAATTTATCCATTATTTATGATTTTAATATCTATATGAAGAAAGTTTTTATTTAAAATTAATTATTTGTACCGCGTTTCTACAATACTCACTTTTAACTCAATTCATACAAATTCCAAACAAAAGTCACGTCAATCAATTGACAGTACAAGTCGACACGCATTCACTAGGGCTGTAATTTTGTTGTTTTCTTATCGATAATGAGATGTCATGTTTGTTTGTATTTAATCGATATGTATACTTTATTATCATCGGCAAACGATTATGCCTATTATATATAAATAAACGGCCGAATTTACATATTTTAAAGAAGTTTGTTTGAGTTTGTTAAAATTGGAGAAAATTAATTCAGCTATTGCGTTTTGATGCAAGGGGCATTGTTCTTAGCAAAATATGTCGATCACTCGTTGAAACCCGATTTGAGAGAACTAAAATACATATGCTATTCTACAGTAGATGACGCGCAGAACCTTCATTTATATCTAGTGGAAAACAGCTGTTTCAGTGTAAATAATTAAAGGAGTTTTATAAAGTCAAAAATGTCGAAAATTTTACAACGCGTAGAAACTACTTTACGCTGTTTCTATATATTCAATTCAAACTTTTGTAAAAAGGAAGGTGAAGAAGCTAACAAAATACTCTACTATAATCCTGAGGATATAGAACTGAATACAAAAATCAAAGATGTTGGGCTTAGTGAAGCTATTATACAGTTTACGGGGTATATATTACAATTGCTGTTCTATTGAATGGTATTCAAGTTTGGTATTTCTCATTTCTTTCTTAGCACCTTTGTTGGTAGTAACGATTGCAAAGCCCTACATACACAGAAAACAACACAATTATTTTATCAACCTGAAAGCGGCTATTGGATGGTAATGGTACTCAATGTGCCAAAAGAAGTCAAGAGTAAGGATGGAATTGAAGTACCAGAATATCGTGGGGCTGAGGTACAGGACCGTATGTATAGAGCCATTTTGCGCCAATGTTATAATAAGTACCGTCTTAATTATGGTACTTTTCATTCGAATTTATCTTTGAATGAATGCGATGACTACAATGGGCGTCAACAATTGCAGGAAAAACTTTCCACCTTTCTCAACGATGTATGTGCAGTGATATATATATTTTAAATAATATGAATAAATAGATGTCTATGTTTTTGCAGTATCTGCGGTCACTAAAGTTTCCCGTAAATGACATTTTGAGTTTTATGCACTCAATCCAATATTTGCCATTAGAACAATCATTATTTCTTCGTGCCCATAACTTTATTAACATGATTCGGTCAACGTTTCCCATAATAAGGGAGAGTGTATTATTGTATGAAGACTATGTCATAAGGTAAGATTCGCTTATTACATTTCCTAGTAGGTTAATTAAATAATTGATATTTCCATTAAATACCATAAATTTGTCGCAGTGGTGGTCAAATCGAACCCATGGAGCTGTGCAGCTTGCATCAATATATTGGCGATAAATTTTTCGAAAAAAGTGAAGGTGCATCCAGAAATGCACACATAGATAGTCCCATAGTGGAAAAGTATCTCAATGGTGTCTTCGTGACTGGTTCTGAATCCTCCGAACAATCTGTTAACTTGCCTAGAGTGTACCTTAAACTAAGTGGCGAACTAAATTGCTATTATTTGATCATTTTTCGAGTTCTAAATGCCACGTTATGCCTACTTAAAAGCGGTAAGGTAGTTTTCTCTTTATTTTAAACAAATTTTTGAGCAATAAACGTTTTTAATTGTATCCTCTAGCCGATGAAAGTCCTCCAAGTTATGATTTCTATACCGAACTGCGCACATATATGGAACCCCAATTGTCAAGTATTTCAAAGGACATTGAAGAAAGCTCAGGCAAGCAACAAAGTTTGCGTAAAGCCAACACTTCTACATCACTATCGGCTTTGACTTCTTCTGTTGCTGACGATTGTGCAGCACCAAAATATATTTTTATTAATGAAAAAAACCTTAAACATGTCACTAATATTCCTAAAGAATGTCGCCAAATTAGCAAATCGGTCCAATATCTTCCCACCAATGTTACTAATCTTATTGCTGATCTCTTCCCTAATGACGAAGACAACGATCTCGAAGAATCTTATTCACCATTAAAAGAAGTACAAATAAAAACCACAAATGATTATTGGATCGTTCAACGCCGTTGGAATTGGAGACAATCCTATGTAGTAATACATAACAGTAAAGCGACATTGTTAGATATAACACAGGAAGCCAGACGTGTGTTCGATAAAGAATTCACAGATGATGTATTTTTTGACAAATAAACAGTATAATTAAATAAATAAAAGGTGTTTTCCAATTAAAGCGACGCACTTCCTCATGATAGGCATTTAACTCTCGCATACTTCGATTACGATGACAAAGCACACAGCAGGGCACAGTGGCGTCTCAAGTTAATATCGATGTGACCCCAGAATTTTCATTTTCTGAAAATACTACGTTGGCACTATTGTTGGCGACACCATATCCGGCATTTCCGCGCGTTGCATTTTTTAATTTTACAATATAGATTTTGTGATTGCTCATGGAAATATTGTATGAATGATCCTCATATACAATAGAAATTCTTTCACAACTTTTGTTGGGCATGAAGTTGTCATCGACACTGGAATATAAAAATTTTGTTTTCTTTCGTTCACAAATATTTTAGGAAGTGGTAAAAATACAACAAAAATAAGCAATTTAAGAATTACACCCTACCACTAAAGCAATTAAATAAAGCATTGAAATAGAATGTACCTTTCAGCTAAGTGTAGAAACTCCATAAATATATTTGCACTTTTTTCATCATTTTCCAAATCACCACCTGAACCGATAACTGCACCGTCATCTTGCAACAATAAATAACCAATTTGATTGCTTAATTTTTCCATATTATTAATTGGTGGCATTCGAATAATATAAAAATTTAAGTTGATTAAAAGATTAATTTGGTCTTTGTTTTTATGCTCTTATCAATATGTCAAAATAATGTTCTAACTAGAGATGAGTAATTCAATTTTCGACTTTTTATTTCTTGTCACAAAAAGAGATTAGTTCACAACAAAAAAAAAAAACATTGTCCAAAAAATTGCATTCTTTTAATAAGCAAAAACCAACACATTATGTTTACAATGTATGCTTGTTGAAGAAAATCTCCAATTATTCATAATGTTACGATTTTACTAAATCAACCTCGATTATTTTCTAAATCCTTCGGGTACGATCTCTGGATTGTTAAATAAAAACTCGCCAATTTAGTTTGCAGTATCTTTTGTTATAAAGAATTAATCTAATATCCTTTATTTACTCCGTAATTCACAATTCAATTACAATACACTTAATTATTTACAATCACTATCATCAACTTTCACAATTTACTCTACTTAAATGTAATCCCAACACGTTTACTTTACGATTTTACTGATGTTAACGCCAACGAGTTTACTTTATCACTTAACTGATGTCAACGCCAACGAGCCCACTTTATCACTAACTTGACTTGCAGCTGAGTGTCGCCTTTATATAGCAGTCGGCTGCTCGCAGACGAAAGCGTAGAAGCATCGAATTGTTCGCTATGGAAGGTTCTTGTTTTATCGTTTCTAGAACGTACTAGTTATCGGCTTCTCTCTTTCATCTGACATTCGCCTCGCATTTTCGCAACAATAATATTAAAATCATATTTACTCAAAATCGGCATCATTTATCGCACATCGCTTGTTGCTTACATCCTCCTCCCATTTCGCATTTATTACGAATGTCAACCAAAATACAACATGAAATAACGAAAGGCAAAATCAAAACGATGACCCAATAAACATGCTGTGAACAGAGTACGTAAATACATTTTTGTTGTATTTACATTCTCTGCTTATATGGAGAAATGTCATTGTAGCCATATCACAATTTTTTTTTTTTAAATTAAACATTTATTTGTTAAAGTACATTCATTACATTATGTGATCTAAAATATTTTTTTATATTTTCTTAACGCTTCTGATGTAAACAGTGGAAAAATAATAGTTTTATTTCTGGAAATTTTTAAACATGATGTTAATTCAGCCTGATATAGTTTTTAGATATATGTGAGAAAATGTTTGTTATAAACATAAGGCGACGTATTTAGGTATTCGTAAGATAAATTTTTAGCTATATTTCTGCATGTGAACTGTGTAAGTATAAATTGACAGAAATAACAATTGTTTTAACTTATTAAGTGAGAGTTGACAACTCTGTAGAATGCGGAAAGAGCAATCAGCGAGAACGTCAATTGGCATTTTCAGCGAATACCGAATTTATTCGTTGCCATTTTGTAAAGTGCTCTTAAAACAGTCTATGGTTGATATTTTGTGCGCTTTGAAATAATTATTAAAAAAGAGGTTATCCAGTAAAGAGCTAAAGAATTTTGTGTAAAACACGACTGGAAATTCATTTTTGTAAGTTCAATTGAGATTTCATAAATATATTATGAAGTTTACAGTAACATTGGAAAGTATTTTGTGAAGAAAAAATTATGGGTCAGCGCCACACCCATTATGGAAAAATGAAATTTGCTACCGATCGATAGTTGAAAAACAAAATAATTGAGTGTAGAATAAATACAAACCCTTAGTATAAATTAGTTATATCAGGTAGTTAATTTCTAGAAAACTAAAGAAAATTTCTGTATCCAAATTTACTAAAAGAAAAAAGTTGAAAATTATATATATATATTTGAGGGAGAAATCGTTCATAAAAAGAATTGCCGATGGAGCGACGTCATCGCGCTGCTGACGGCGTGGTGTGCTGAGTAGCAGTTTTGTTTTTGGACAGTTAATTTGTGTATGGTGAATAACAAGTAAAAGTATTTGTACTTAGTGTTGTAAAAGGAAAGAAGTTTTTTTTTATTGTTTTCTATAATCTTTAAAATTTTTTTTTTGTAAAAAATGAACGAGCTCATGAGTTTTCCATGAAGATTTTAAGCCAAGAACATAACAATCCAACCATATATTTACCTGCCACCATACACAAACTTGCTACAAAAATAAAAGCTGCGCCTAAAAGATGATATTATCGCTACCTTAACAGCATTATTTGTTGCATATTCTTAAGATGAGTTAACACAATACTGAAATTGAATTTAAATTTTTTTTATTTTCGAAATTAAAATTCCCTTATATATTCTATGTTGCCCAGAAAAACATATATTTTTAATCAGTAATTATGGAGCACAGCGGCTTTTGCTAAAACTGTCCAAAATATGTTCTTTTCTCCCAAAAAACCTTGTTTAAAGCGTAGTTTAAATAAATTAATATTTCCTTAATTACTGATATAATTCATATGTATGATTCTGTTTTTCATAAATATTAATATTATAACTGGGCTACTCCATTTGCCACACCAAAAAACATACAAACCTTAAGAGGAAATCCTAAAAAATTGTATTACGTCAACTTTTAATGAATTATCCGCAAGTGACACATAAAATTTGAAGATGACCTGCCGCATTATCCATACTCTTCTCGTCCTTGATCTGAAATTTAACGATGACTCAAAGAGCATGCGCTATTCCTCTTATATATAATTTTTATTTGTTCCTATTTACTTAGGTATCATTTTTTTTTTTTTTTTCTCATCACGACTAATATTGCCGGCAATATACTCACTAAATTCAACAACTTTTTTTTTTGTTGTTGTTGGGAATCTTTATGCTTATAATAAACAATGTTGTTCGAAGTATACAAAATATTTACAAATACAAAGTCGGTTTTAAAACTAAACATTTGTGTTTACGCTGCATTACGTCATTTCTCTATTTTTACCCATTTCTGAATCAATTGCGTTAATAGCACTTGTGTGTGTGTTTGTGTGCGCACTTTGTGCTCGCTTGTTGTTGCCGTCGTTAATATTTCAACGATGGGCAACGTACATAGAACATAAGCATATACATATCTATGAATGAATGTTCCGGTCAAATGTGAGCTATGTGCATGTACGAGTATACGTCGATGTATGTACATATTCATATGTATATTAATTTGGGGTTGTTGTGCATGCAGCTCTCACTTTTAATGATTCGTCTTTAAAAAGTTGAAGCCACTTAATTATGTGTATATACAATACATATGAACATATATATATGTGAATGTGCCATCATGAACTTATTTTCTTTTCCAGAAATTTATATTATTTTTTTTTTTTAACAAGTAGAAATTCTCATTAGAAATTAAAATTAGTTGCAAATAAAAATGGAAAATTTCGAAAAAGAAATCAATTAAGGTGGTGTGTTTATATGAAAAATTTAATAAACTAATTTACTTAATTTTGGGCTTAGAATCTTTTCTTTACAAATAACTGTACTAACTACATACATACATACATACATATGTATATATGCGTATACTTAAAAGAGTTGATAGATAAATGAGTTATCCATAAATATTAAAATATGTAGGTACAAATAAATAAAAACATGGTATTTTTGCAAACCAAAACTTTATATAAGTATATACATATGTATATACAAACATGCCTACGTATGTATATATTTACTAAGTTATTTAACTATTTAAAACTAAAACTAAGGTATTTAGCTGTAGCTTTGTTTGTAGACAATTATGTGTATGTACATATATGTTTATATGTATGTACGTACCATATATTTATTAACCATAAATATATTGCAAACACAAGTTTAATCTCAGTAAACGTGTACTTGCGATTTAGTTCTTTTTTCAATAAGTCTGACGACATGCTGCATACCACTTCCATCCTGAAATATCGTCCTCTTTTTCTCTGACATCTTCCATTTCAGATGAACTATAAATAATTATTAAAAAAAAATAGTAATAATTAAGAAAGAAGCCTAAAATGAACAGTGTCTGATATCTTAACTAAAGACAGTAGAAGTCAGATAAAAGAATTTAACAATGAATTCGTCAGAGGAGAAATTAAAGAAATTACTTGTTGCCAATGCGCCATGGCCAACAGATAGTTCAAGCGATACTGCCACCCACACGAATCATTTTCGCCAATGGTTTCTGCAGCAATTTAACGAGGCGAAATCGGAAAATCTTGACGATTTCGCAATATATTTTTTAAATACTTTGCGGCAACAATCGGAAAAATACTTACGTTCCAATGACACTGAACAAACTTGTCAAACACCTATAAAGACAAATAAATCGATAGCGAATAATAGCGAAGTTGTGGTATGTGAGAAAAATATTGGAAATTCTACACCACAGCGTCTACCATTTTGCGCACAAAATTCCGCACCTTCCACACCGAATTTCGCCTCTACACCTCAATTAGACGCTAAAATTATTAGCCCTTGGGATAGCAGTATCGGTGAAGATTTGTCAGCGAATTTTCGTCATAATGCTAAAGCTAACTCATCTGCAGCCTTTTCGACTGTACAGTCGATGGAACGAAGCTTAACAAGTACTTTCAAAAGTGACGTATCCACGCCTGCACGTCGTAATCAGAATAGCAGCCGACGTTCGGGAAATAGTTCAATGATGCACGCAACGACGCCACACAGTACCGAAAAATCCATACGCAGCAACAGCGCCACGTCTGGCTTTTGCCTGGGCGACTTTATAGTACTACAGCAAAACAATAGCAATCGTTCGAATCGTAAGAAAACACCACAAAACTCATTTCAACAAGCTGCAGCAGAGAGTACTAGTGAAACATCAACAAATAGTAAGCCCAAAAAGAGAGTGGTGCCTACAACAATAAGTAATCGCACTGTTGGAAACAGCACGGGTGGCGAATTGAAGGTATTTGGCTGCAACAGTTCATTTAGCAATGAAAACAATATACTTACGCTATCGCATGCTGAGATTGAAGATAAAAATAAATGCAGCATTATGGCTGCCAGGAAATCACTTAAATTAAATGCAGTCGAAATAAGTAAAGAACTCGAAACTGTTTCTGTTGGCGACGAGGAGAAGATGTTGCATGATATGATTAAACGCAAGCTACAAATTGTAACTAATAATGTAGATAATTTGGATGACGAGACACCAAAAAGTACAATAAATGCTCAACTGCCAGCTATAGAATTAGATAAAATAGACAATCACTCATATCTAGAACGCATAGCCGATATATATGTAGTTTTAATGGATTTGAATTTCGTAACAAACATACTCAGCGAAATGGCTTTCGTATTGAATCTACTCAATACACAGGAGATCACACTAGCTGCCCTACAAAATGATACAGCCGACTCGAAAAATGTAAAATTATCAACAGAGGAGGAGCAACAAACTATAGGTATGCAACTGCTTGATAATGTTACAAATTGTTTATATTTTGCTCTATGCGTGCTAAGACGGCAGCGACATTTGTTTGCACATCTCGATATCAAGAGTTTGGGTGTGGTTCTGCACAATGAACGCATTCACTGCCTTGATATGGATTTGAAGTCGTATTTGGAGACTATTTATCAGTATAAACAATCATTGCTGCTGGATAAGTCTCATACCATTGAAGGCACTGCAACTATACAGCGCTCGTTTAAGAATGTTTACTATCAGGAGGATAAAGACTCAAGGCAACATTTTACATCGAATAATGAATTTGGCGCCTTCAAAACACAACGTGATCTATTCTATAAAGTACTTAAAGTGTGGGAAATTCAGCATTTGAATCGCAATTGGAATTTCTCACAAGAATTGGCAATGAAAATTCGTGACATTTTCAAACAATCGGAAAATCCAATTAATATGGCACACTTTGCTAAACTCTTCGTCGCACAACTATTGATATCGGCGAGTGATGCGGCTTCACCTGAAGATATTGGCTTGGATATTGATGCGGAGAAGTTCAGTAAATTGGCACAACGCTTGGTTGCGCCAAGTAATTTCAGCGTAGATTACGAATTTCCACGTAATCAGGCTTTCTTTCGCGATTTCATCACTGAAGCGAGATCTATACCATTTATTGAACAATTGAAAATGGCGCTCTATTCACATCTTATAACCTTAAACAATTCTACATTTGAACAAACGAATTTGTATATGGGTGATAATAGAGATGCAGATGAGTTGGTAGCGGTTAATGAGAAAGGCGAAAACAGTGAATTTATAGTGCGTCCCGAAACACTGGCATCCATGATAATTTTAGCGAAATTTTTAGGCTTTGTAACAGCATATCCATATAGTCAATATTTACGCAACGCCCCCATAGCTGGTAGTATTGAAAAAAAACAATTGTTGTTACGCAGCTTATTCCAACCACATTTTAGTATATCTCAACATCTCTTAGAAGCGATAAGAAATAATAAAATGCTCATAACATTGCCATGGTTGGTACAATACCTTGCTATGCTGGATAATATTACGTTACAATTGCCTGATGTCACCGAAACTACACAATTGCTCTTTACGCTCTACACTCAAATCGGTTACAATTCATCATCAATGGTATTGACACCAACAACTATATTCATTCTGCGTTGTTGTTTGGGTTGGCTCTTGGATAAAAAGCCAATAATAGCCGAAAAATATTTTATATACAGAGCAACACAAAAACCCATGTCTAAAGACAATAATCACGAGTGTCAAACCGAACAGCAAACGTTGATTGTTGATTTAATAATGGCACGCCAAAAAGAAGATTACGCTGGTAGCAGCAATAACGTTGTTGTAATGTCGAATAATAAAAACTTGCACCACGAAAAAGCATTGAACCCCATACTTGAGTCCCTGTTAACAGTTGCATGTCCATTCTTGGCCGAATTTCGCGTCGCCATTATGCCCAGCAAATATGCAACTAAGAAATATGTATCACGTACAGGTAGATATCGTCATATAACCACACGCATTGCCGAATCACAGCCCTCAGCCGCTAATTCTCCTGCTCACCGTGCGCATAAACCAAACTCGAATGCATTAAATTCACAAAAAATGCAACAAAATAAAATTATTGATGCATTTCTACAATCGCAGAATGCTTCAATGCGTCGCCTTATAGAATTTATCTCCGATAGGGTATATAAGTCCGCCGTCAAGGATGGCCAACACAAATTCATACTGCCTGCAAAATCTAACGCTGATAAGCTCGTAAACGAGATTAAGACATCCAATGTCGATGAGGTTTTTAAAAATTTAACTAACATCTATGAAAATGCTTATGAAGTAGCGTGTTCACAATGGGAGTTGAATATACCAAAATTGGTAGATGAACGCATTACTATGGCACTCTCAGCGCTACTGCCGACAGAGACCACACCCATAGTACAAACAATATACTCACAATTGATACGGCAAAATGCTATGAAACGAATACAGCAATGGTTTAATGACAATTTGCAACTTAGTAGTTTTTATTGTGGCAACTTAAGTGAAATCACTCAGAAGATATGCAAAGCGAACAGAAAGGAACACCAGTCGTCGTCAACGTCCGTATTGGAAATCGTACAATTCACACCAAGCGTTTCGGATATACTTGACGAGCTTCAATATTTTCAACATCTCACCTCATTGCGCACCGAACTACTTAGAGCAGATGCTAGTGATATTGTTAGCTTTCTTCAGAGAATACCCAGCGCTTTCGTCAATACATTACCGACTACGTTCTATCGTTTAATTGGTGCGGGTATTGTGCAAATTTTACAACATTTAATAAAGCATAAGCCGACCTTGCTTACAGCAGATCTGATGGAGTCGGCTTGTAGTGTTTGGTTAAATCAAAAATTCAAAGCGGCCATAAATACAGTTGCTGCTGGTCGTAGTATGAAACCCGATAATGTAAATAAGAATAGTAATAAAGAAGAAACTGTTCCTAAGGATGGCAGTGATGAGGAAAGCAGCAGTTCCACTTCGGTAGATATTCATAAAACCCCCAGTATTTATGACGGACTGATTACAGTGGCATTTATCGAATCGCTGGGTGGTGATAATAATCGTTTTGAGAAACTAAAAGAATTGTTAGTTTTTATGATCAAGAAACAAGTAATATCCATAGACAAAGTTAATGTGTTGTTTGTGCCGATTTTTAAGGAAAATTGGCCCGTTAATGTGTTGAACGAAATCTCGAAGACTCTGCAAGGTATAGCTGATGAGACTGCCATGTGCTCAGATATCGGTGATAACAGTGAGGGTAGTGATGACGGAGCTAAATCTCATTTATTTATGGAAGTATTGGCTGACTTCTCGAGAGACGTTGATAATTTAAGTTTCTATTAGCATAAGATAATTCTTGCCTAAATACATACATAGATATGTACATACATACACATATGCATAAGTTTTAATAGTTTAAAGAAATGTTACTTTGTGTGATTTTAAGTGATGACAAAATAAATGATTAAATGTGTTTTTAATAATAAAAAAAAAACAATCTTTAGCTCTAATTAGCAACAACAACAAAAATAATCAAAATGTAATAAATCTGTATACATACATATGTATATGTTTACATATAAAAGGAAGTCTTGTTAGTTACTCTAGTAATAACCGATCTCGGTGATTTTTGTGTTTTTTGGGTTTTTCTTCGGTGTGATGAGCCAGTTCAAATTTGGCACATCAAAGATTATATTAATTTTGTCTCGATAAACATATGTATGTATGTATTATTATTATTATTATATATGAATATTTCGCGTCGTGTTCATCTGTGGTTACATTGATTTCTAAGGTACTGTCATTTCGCGACGTTTTCAGCAGATGTCATTTGTTTTAGCGTGAACAACAATTTGTTTCATTCATTTGAAAATGTCGAAATTTGTACCAGATAAATTGTCTTTACGGGGAGTTCTTCTTCATTACTTTAACATGAAGAAAAGTGATATCGAAAGCCATCGTATTTTACTAGACGTTTGTGGTGATCATGCTTTAGCCGAACGAACGTGCCAAAAGTGGTTTACACGATTTAGAAGTGGCAATTTTATAATTTTAAATAATTTCTTTGTTGCAGTTTTTTAAATTACAATCAAAAACAATAAAGAATAGTTTTTTTCGGCCATTCAGTAATCTTAATTCCTTTCATGACCACATCAAATTAATCGTGTTTCATTTCATGTTTAAATATTAATTCTCTTATCTTAAAAATGGGTTGGACATGGTCCTTCGATTTCGATGATTTCAATTTTTATTTGTATTGCTAATCACAGCGACCAGCGCACTTAGGATAGAAGACTCATTGAGTCACCTGCTCAGATGTACGAACCACTTCATGTGCCTTTTGCACCTTACAGTGGACAGGACGAAAGATACTCCTCGTCAGACTCTTTCTCTTCTTCGTCTCTGCAACTTCGACAACAACCATTACTGAAGTATCCTATTCTCCTACCGTGAAGACCTATTAAACAGTATCCGATCTTTTCACACTTGATCTTTTCACGTTCAACACAGGCCAATATTGTCTAGCCACATTACAGTTTCTTTCGCTAAAGCATTAGCTGTTTCGCTGTAAGTCAGTTTGAGCCACGTGCAGTATTATAGCAATGCAACTCGCTTGATATTTGCAGTACAAATCGTGGGGAAGAAAATTTAGAAGAGTTTCCAGAGCTCTTATAATGAGAATAGCTGATGACCGTTGAATTACCACGTGGAATAGAATTGATCAGACTATTGCTGTATAAATGAACTGTTTTAGGCTCCATCTTTACAACAGTAGCGGCTTTGCATGCGTAGAGTGCAGTGATAGCTCTTCTCGACCTTTCCGCCGGCTCCAGTTGAACTTGCTATCTAATCCTGAGATATTTAACCTCGGCGAAAAAAATGTGATTTCCATGAATTTTAGTGGAGGAGCTTTAAAAGTGATTTTTATCTATTTATATATAATTGTGTGGAATAACCTCACGCTTGGAGATACTTTTTTTTTGATGTTTGACCAAAAATCTCGACATAAGAACAAATCGGTTTATTTTATTTAGAATATACGATATAATTATTTGTAGATATAGATGTATAATACCAAATCATCGAATCGAAGACTTCTTGACAAATTTATGACCCAATCTAACCCGATCTGGTCCATTGCACCATCATAATATTCTTTAGCGACGAGGCGCATTACTCACTCGAGGGATATGTAAGCAAGTAAAATTGTTGCATTTAATAATAACTGGCGCTTTTTAATCGCTGAAGCGAATTTTCGCCCGAGCTCCTCCTCCAATTTGTAGTTTTGCGTCTTGATGTTTTTCCAACAAATGGAGAGACCTGCAATTTATACTAAGCCGCCTCCGAACGGCTAATGGTTTTTTTACGGAGAGCCTTTATTTCATGTTGGATGTTTCTTGGATGTTGGTGGCACCGGGATTTGAACCCGAGTCTTCCGAATGTCAATACGTAATGCTAACCACTCGGCTACCGCGGCCGCATTGTCACATTTAAGGCTAAAAATAACTGAAGAGAGGAAATTATACCCAAGGAAAAAAACTTACTGCCTGGTAAGGAAATGTGATTGGATCTTATTTCTATGAAAACGACAACGTCGAGACTGGCACTATCAATTCGGAGCGTTATGGCCGTATAATAACCGATTTATTTTGAATTGTAATTGAAAAAGACGACTTGGACAATATGTGGTTTCAACCCAAAGGGGCTACATAGTACACAACATGAGCTAATGCGTCTTTATTGCGAGAGAAATTTCCCGCTCTCCTCTTGGCGATTTCAATTGGCCACCGCGCTCGTGCCACCATGACATCATTAGTCTTTCTTCGTGGGCTACATGAAATACAGTGTTTATGCAGATAAACCTTTTAATTTTTGAGCACGTACTGAGCTGACCACCACCAAATATGTGCCAAAATGCGGTCGAAAATTACTTCAAGATGATCGAAGTTTGCAAAAATTCGCTACGCAGTCTTTTGAACGACGTAGTATTTCATATATAATGCCAAGGTTTATAAATAAAAAAGGGTTTCACGAAAAAAGTTATTGGAAATGCATTTTATTTACGTTTATTTTCGAGACCGGAGTACCCTGTATGTACTCATATGGCTGGGATTGAATATGAACTAAATCTGACTTGAGATTATTTTGTATAAAAATCGAATTAGATGTTTTAAATTTCCTAATATTACCGTCATTTGAATGCTATTTAATCAGAAACCAATTGTTGCAGATCAGAAGGTAGCAACAACCAAAAAAAAAAAAAAAATAATAATTCTTAAAGCTAGTTATCCTCACCGAGTCATGGTGTGAGCAAACTTATAGAAAATTATTTTTTTTTCTAATTGTGGTCGGCCCTCGGCAAATAAAAACTCTTCATAAAAAGCCAGCAGCAGCTCGGAGGTGACTTAGTATAAACTTTTGATCCCCCTCATCAGCACCTTATTAATGAAAAACCTGAAGAAAATTGTGGGACTGGTTATAAAATCGGCTGCCAAACGCTTTAAAAATTGTTGTAATACTTTATGTTAAGATTAGATATGATGTTCTGAATGCCTTGCTAACGCATGACAAATAAAATGCTCTATATTGCAAAGACCAAACTTATATAAGCTGGAATGGTGAATGGTGTAAGAAGTATTTTTAATTACTCGTAGTTTCTAGTAAATGAAAGCGGTAGTTTGTTGTTTTCTTCAAAAGAATCATATAAATTATTCTATAAGTTTTGTAACTAGTCCATTATTTTTGCAATAAATAGATGGTTTATTTAGTTAAGTTTTACCACTCTAAAAACATGTATATTAGGGTGAGTCAAAATAAAAATACATTGGATTTTTCTAGATTCGTCTCACGAAAACTAGTTGCTAGATATCTCCAAAAGATATTCCTCATGAAGCTTTTAATTTTAATTTGCTTGCAGTATTGTTGTTGTTGCAACCGTACAAGTATTCATTCAAGTCAACTTTAAAGAATTTTGCAGTTTCGAAAATAAACGTAAATAAAATTCCTCTAGAATATTTGTTTTTTTTTTTTCAAGAAATTTCTTTACAATATTTTTATTTATGAAATTCCTTTTTATTACAAAGTTTGAAACTCATTACATCATTCAAATGATCGTCTCACGAAATTTTGCAAACTTCGATCCGTTTGAGATGATTTTCGTCCACTGGTACATATATGGCGTTTATCTCAGCCATAACCTGACGAATGTTCGACAGTGACAGTCTCAACGTTGCCGTTTTTAAAGAAGTAAAGTTCAATGACACCTCCGGACGGAAGAGCACATCAGAGAGTAAGATATATTTTTAAATGTAGTGTGATCTCTCTTCAACTACTTGCGGATTCTCGAAGCTTCAATTGCAATGTCAAGCGAAACCATCAACATATGCACCTAGTGAGATATGTGTCTCGTCCACTGCTCATGGTTCTAACACCCAATCGACATATGTACGGCCAGCTGGCTTCAGTTGTTGTCTTGTGTGAGAACGCACTGAAATAGACACCTTCGGGTCTTCGGTCCCACTTTCATTTACAGTAGCGATATTTGGAATGAAACGTGCAAAACGATGCTGCACAGGCCTAACAACATCTGTAACCGATCCAGTCTTTTCAAATTTCTTTACAATTTTACCAATTGCTGGAGTAGTTGGACCTTAATGTGTACCATAATAATATAATATCATCTTCAAGCACGGAATGTGGCCGCCTTTGAACCACCATTTTTTTTTTAATAGGCTTAACACTTTTAAAGCATTGTGTGCATATAAAGCAAAGCCATCAATTTTCATAAACAGCTGACTTTTCACTAAAACAAAGGATGTTTGGTTTGACAGTTAAGCTTGACAGATTGTAGAGCATTTAATAAAAAAAAGAAGTCGTAGCAGTATATCAGCAAGCTACAAGATTTCAAACAAAAAGTTACTCATCAATTTAATTATGTTAAATGTTGAGCTTGAATGTCTTTTAAATGGTTGGATTATAGGAAAAAGTGTAAGAGAACATTTTTGTGGAATTTAGTCAATACAAAAAAAATTTCTTGTTTCGCTTTACTCTAATGTGCATACATAAATCTAAGCAAACGTAATGTGTTTGCCATTATCGCAACGGATATGTGAAATGATCAGTTTTACTCTTTATTTAAATTTAGTCAGTAATTATATTTTTCTTTTATCAGCACCTTAACAGAATTTATTTCTCATACATACACACATACGAGGGTAGATCGTAAAGTTTGTAGAAGGTTTTGGTTTGGTTCGGGTACCCACTACCTGTTAAACAAGTTAAGACATAAGTGAAGTAAACCCGAACGATTGTGAAAATGAAGTATCATTTTGAATGAAACGCCAACCATCCATGGCAAACAAGTGTCCGGTTAAACCAGTGATTTAAACAAAAATACTTGGAAGAGACTTAAATTGAGATATGATGCCCCACTGAAGAAAAAAAGTTATCAGATAAAGGAAATGCAAGATGGGTCGCCAGAATATTCACAATGCATAAGAAAATGCAAAGATTGGACGTGTCTGGCAATGCTTGAAGTTCTAGATTGATTTCTTCATATCACCAGACGTTCCAAGGCGGCTTAGTATAAACTGTAGTTCCCTTCAATTGTTGGTAAAACCATTAAGACACACACCAACAATTGGAGCTCGGCCGATAATCATTTCAGCTGTTACAAGGCGCCAGTTATATAGGTAATATGTTTAATTCAATAAAACAAATTGATGAAAAACATTAATTATATTATAATATGTCGGAACGAATTTGTTCATTTTTTTTCCAAGACTACATAAGCTGATTAATATTTGCGTGTGTCGTTTAATCTATGATAATAATGCCGTTTTACAGCTTTTCTCAACGCCGCCTAAAAGCTGGCAGTGTTGTCGGGTTCGGATCAACTGGAGAAGGACGTTAGATGAGTGGGTTTTAGTGCACATACTAAAAAGATGGTTAGTGCGAGAACTAATTGTTGCCAAGACCAAGTCTTGATGGGGAGAAGTTGAGCCAACTACAGTATTTAGACCAAATCTTACACTGCTGGGGCGTCACTGCAGCTCTGGTGAAGTCCAAAATTGACGAAGACCCACGATTGACACAATAAATGATTGCTAATGAATGGGGCATGGCGGTATTGCGAATATTAAGTAATCATCTGGGATACCCGAAAAAATCTGCTCGATGGGTAACACGAATTTTAAATGAGGCTCAAAAAGGGACTCGATTGCAGTTTGCTAAATTTTTCCTAAACAAATTTGAAAATGGCCAGTCTAGCAACTTCAGTAAAATCGTTATTGGTGACGAATCGTGGTTTTGTAAATATGATCCAGAAACCTAATTCACCAGATCTAAATTCATAGCTGCTATTCCACTGCAAAAGGGTCGACCGGTAACTGCAAAATGGTACACCGAAGAGTGTTTACCAAAAGTTTTCAAAAATTTGTTGGAAAGCAGGAATAAAGAGGATTTGCGGCGCTACCTTTCGCATTATGACAACGCGCCATCCCACACGGCTGAAATAACGAGTAATTTGATTGTGATCTCTGGGATCGAAGAAATACGTCTAGAAACGTATTCGAAATTAAAAAAAAAGAAAAGTTAAAAAGAAAGGTCTTTAATAGCAACGGTTAATGCTGAGCTTTAAAAACAAGACTTTGAAGTCTGCTTTCAGAAGTGGATCTAAAGGCTTAAGAAATACATTGAAATCAATGGCGATTATGTAGAGGAGATAAAAAAGGACAAGATTACGAATAAATACAAGATAATTATATTTTTTTTCTGGTCAACTTACTGAACTTTTGTCAATCCCCTCGTATATGTATGTAACAGATGAATATTATATATATGAAATGGAACGCTTATCAAATGTTTTATAGATTATATTGTTGACACATATACACATACGTACATTATATATGTATGTATGCGCTTGCACATAAGTAGTACCGTAACACTTTTTATTAACCCACCAATTCTGGCCTACGTGTTTGTAACCAAGAAAACTACTATTATTATAATTCTTTAAGCAGCTATAAATTTATTTATTGCAAATATAAACATTTAGAGATGGTTTTTCGCTTCTCTGTTTAAATAATTTTTTTTAGAATCAGTTCTAAATTTGGACGGTTTTATTTGATGAAACTACCGAAATGCACTACAAGCAAAAAAAAAGGTCTACTGATTAGGCTTATTGTGTTTTCCTGCTTATCGAAATTGTGCTCTTGCGAACAGTTTGCTCAATTTAATATTTAAATTTATTAATTTTTTTCCACCCACGCGCAGCGTTGTCTAAAAGGCTGAAGTTCGGAACACCATGGAAGTTTTTACGTCTCAATCGGCTGAACGACGAACACTGGTGAAGGTAATGAGCCAGCGTTTCATCCTCCTCTGTGCCGGCTATGCACTCTACCAACTCTAACTTAACTAGCTTTTAGAGATGATATCTTATAGGAAATAGGCCTTTCTTGCTTAGTGCTAGCAAAAGTCGGGGTTAATTTCCAATCTAGTTTGTAGTATAGTTGTATGCCCTACGTTGGTATTGCTTATTGCTTCCCCTAAATTCAACTATTTTAAACAACATTTGAAGGCGCTGAAAAGTCTGATGCCCATTCGCCTTTTCATTACCTTTGACCTTCGTGTGACCTGGGACTCGCGTTATATTCACTTTATTAAACCGATGTTTAATTTATTGCCTCTTTGCATGTTTAAAGGTTTAGTAACGCACACAAATTCTGCATAAAAGACAAAGTCGTCATTTAGTTTGAAGCTACATTGGCTATTGAGATGATCACAGTAGAACCCTGCCTCGCATAGGACTCATTAGTATAGATGATGAGGATATCTTTGGTGATACAGATGGCCTTGCCTTTCTTCTATTATTCCCTTCTACGGAAGGAATAGTTGGTTTGCACCTTACAGAATGTTTTCTTTTCTCAGTCGCACTATACGTTTAACCCGAGTAATATAATATATGTAGATTTTATATGGTTAGCATTGCGTACTGCCATTCGGAAGGATCGGGTTGAAATCCAAAATTCATAGAAAATAATTTAAATAAAAAATTAATCTAAATTTTCTACATACGATCGCCCCTCGGCAGGAAATTTCAACCCCTTCGAGGGTATTTCTGACATGAAATAAAGCTCCTCATAAAAAAACCATCAGCCATTCGGAGGCGGCTTAGTATAAAGCCCTTCTATTCGTTGGGAAAAACATCTAGACGCAAACCCACAAATTGGAGGAGGGTCAATTATGATTATTATTATTATTTTTATTATTATTATTATTATTATTATTATTATTATATATGGTACATAGGTAGATAAAAAAATATTAGACTTAATTGCTTATGAATGGTAGAGCGTGAAAGTAATGAGTTTTACAATCCTGGTTACCTCTATTTGGACTATCCTGTATGTGATGTAAACAAATTATCAATTTCTGCATAAAGACTGAAACTTCCTCCGAAGGCGATCTTTAAATTTCGTCATTACCATAATTATTAATTAACGTACATATCACAAGGCGCAATCGAACGTTTAATTGAAAGAATAAAAAATAAAACATAACATTACAAGGCCAATAGTAAATTAAATATATGTTTACAAATATACATACCCACTTACATATAAACATATATATACACGTATATTCTCTCTATTTCAAAAAACCAAAACCAAATCCATGTCGACGCCCGAACCGTTGAAGGGTTAATAAGCGCATGACAATCGTAGTTGACAGCGAATGTGAGTGCGAGCTGAACGTTGAAATAAAAAGCGTTTGCTCGCTCTAGTCGTGAGTTTTGAGCGAAGCGACCAACATTTTAAAATCAGTTGACATAATTGAAATTTGGAAGGTCTGACTCACTTTGTTCTTGTGCATTTAATACAACTGCTACACACACACATACTGCATAGGTAAATTCGTAAATGTTCACATAAACACACTATAAGTCTATGTGAAAAAGTATTTTTAGCAAGTGTTAGTGTATGAAATTTTAACATTATGTATTATATTATATAACAATGAGTTCAGCATATAGTAGTACTAGTAAAAACGAATAAAAAAGAGTTCAAATTGAATAATCTTGATTTGTTTTCGCTCTTTTGCAGGTGCAGAAAGAAGAGGCTTACAATCGAGTCATCAAGTGGTGGCTGGCAGCTCAAAATACGAAACGCACTGAACAGTATTAATTTAATTAAAGGAAATAAGAGCGAACGAGAGCAAAAAGAAGGTAAACTATCAATGCACTTAAAGGCTGATGAGGTCATCATAGTACGTAATAGCAAAGTTTTACATATATATACGTATATAAATATATATATATTTATATATATTTTAACCACAATTTTACCTCATCTAAATTTCTCATCCCACCCAATCTCATAGCAATTTTACAAAATCGACAACTAAAATAATAAACTAAAACTTCAAACGTTTTACAAAACAACGATCGAAACGATTAAACGAGAAAAATGGAGAATTTCACGCCTAAAGAGGTGAAAATTCTCGAAACCGTCGAGGATATTCAGGAGCGTCGTGAACAGGTGCTTTCACGTTATAATGAATTTAAGATCGAGACGCGTCAAAAGCGTGAAAAACTAGAAGATTCACGCCGCTTTCAATACTTTAAGCGCGATGCTGATGAATTGGAATCATGGATACATGAGAAGTTGCAAGCCGCAAGTGAGGAAAGCTATCGCGATCCCACAAATCTACAGGCAAAGATACAAAAACATCAAGCTTTCGAAGCGGAAGTTTCCGCTCATAGTAATGCCATTGTATCGCTTGACAATACTGGTCAAGAGATGATCAATCAGCAGCATTTCGCATCGGAAACCATTCTACGTCGCCTTGATGAATTGCATCGTCTGTGGGAGTTGCTGTTGAATCGCCTAGCAGAGAAGGGACAAAAATTGCAACAAGCACTGGTTTTGGTACAATTTTTACGTCAATGCGAGGAAGTTATGTTTTGGATTAAGGATAAGGAGGCATTTGTTACTGCTGATGAATTCGGGCAAGATTTGGAGCATGTAGAGGTATTGCAGCGCAAGTTTGATGAATTTCAAAAGGATATGGCTTCACAGGAATATCGTGTCAATGAAGTGAATCAATTGGCTGAAAAGTTGGTACAGGATGGCCATCCAGAGCGTGAAACAATTACCAAACGCAAAGAAGAGTTGAATGAGGCTTGGCAACGTCTCAAGCAGTTGGCAATTGTGCGGCAAGAGAAACTCTTTGGTGCACATGAAATTCAACGTTTTAATCGCGATGCCGATGAGACTGTTGCCTGGATTGCTGAAAAGGATGTTGTATTGTCATCCGATGACTACGGCCGTGATTTGGCTAGCGTACAAGCCTTACAACGTAAACACGAAGGTGTTGAACGTGATCTAGCGGCACTTGAGGACAAGGTATCCACATTGGGCGCTGAGGCAACACGTCTGTGCTCCATTCATGCCGATCACAGTGATCAAATACGCGACAAACAAGCTGAAATCGCCAACTATTGGCAAAGCCTAACCGCCAAGGCTCGTGAACGCAAACAGAAATTAGACGAATCGTACTTTTTGCATCGTTTCCTAGCCGATTTCCGTGACTTGGTATCGTGGATAAATGGCATGAAAGCCATAATTTCTGCCGACGAATTGGCTAAAGATGTTGCTGGTGCTGAAGCGCTATTGGAACGTCACCAGGAACATAAGGGTGAAATTGATGCTCGCGAGGATAGTTTTAAATTGACGACCGAGTCGGGCCGCAAACTATTGGAGCGTGAACATTATGCTGCGGCTGAAATTCAAGAAAAATTGGCTGCACTAGAAAATGACAAGAGCTCATTGCTTTCTTTGTGGGAGGATCGTCGTATACTGTATGAGCAATGCATGGATTTGCAGTTGTTCTACCGTGATACGGAGCAAGCCGATACTTGGATGGCAAAGCAAGAGGCTTTCCTTGCTAATGAGGATCTTGGTGATTCTTTGGATTCCGTTGAAGCTTTAATTAAGAAACATGAAGATTTTGAGAAGAGCCTGGCTGCACAAGAAGAGAAAATCAAGGCGCTGGACATTTTCGCTACCAAGCTAATTGATGGACAGCATTATGCAGCCGATGATGTTGCACAACGTCGTCAAATGTTGTTAGCACGTCGTTCGGCGTTACAAGAAAAGTCTGCAAGGCGTCGTCAACTTTTGGAAGATTCTAATCGTTATCAGCAGTTCGAGCGTGATTGTGACGAAACCAAGGGTTGGATTAGTGAGAAATTGAAATTCGCCACTGATGACAGCTACCTAGATCCAACCAATTTGAATGGTAAAATGCAAAAACATCAAAACTTTGAGCATGAATTGAACGCCAATAAATCGCGTATTGAAGACATCACGACTGTGGGTACTGAACTTATCGAAAAGAAACATTATGCCTCCGATCAAATTAATACGCGCATGCAAGAGATAGTTGTATTGTGGGAGACCTTAGTACAGGCATCCGATAAGAAGGGCTGTAAATTGCATGAGGCCTGTCAGCAGCAACAATTTAATCGTACCATTGAAGATATTGAACTGTGGTTGAGCGAAATCGAGGGTCAATTATTGTCTGAAGATCATGGCAAGGATCTAACATCGGTACAAAATTTACAGAAAAAACACGCACTTCTCGAAGCCGACGTCATGGCTCATCAAGATCGCATTGAAAGCATAAAAGTAGCAGCTAATAAATTCATTGAGTCGGGACATTTCGATGCGGACAACATACGTAATAAGGAAGCCAATTTGTCTGAACGTTATGCAGCATTGGCTGCACCAATGGCTGAGCGTAAGCAGCACTTACTTGACTCCTTGCAAGTGCAACAATTATTCCGGGATCTTGAAGACGAAGCAGCTTGGATCCGTGAAAAAGAACCAATCGCAGCTTCAACTAATCGCGGTCGCGATTTGATTGGCGTACAAAATCTTATTAAAAAACATCAAGCTGTCTTAGCTGAGATTAACAATCACGAACCCCGTTTACTTAATGTTATCAGCTCTGGTGAGAATATGCTAAAGGAGCAGCCATTTGCTAGTGAAGATATTCGCCAACGCTTGGACGCATTGCAAGATCAATGGAATACCCTAAAGGAAAGATCGAATCAACGCAAGCAAGATCTTGAGGACTCACTACAAGCCCATCAATACTTCGCTGATGCTAACGAGGCTGAATCGTGGATGCGTGAAAAGGAGCCAATCGCAACGAACAATGACTATGGTAAAGATGAAGACTCTGCTGAGGCATTGCTGAAGAAGCATGAAGCATTAGTCTCCGATTTGGAAGCATTCGGTAATACAATCCAAGGTTTACAAGAACAAGCACGAAACTGCCGCCAACAAGAAACCCCTGTTGTTGACATAACCGGCAAGGAATGTGTTGTTGCTCTTTATGATTACACTGAAAAATCACCACGTGAGGTATCAATGAAGAAAGGTGATGTGCTTACCCTGCTCAACTCCAATAACAAAGATTGGTGGAAAGTTGAGGTAAACGATCGTCAGGGATTCGTGCCAGCCGCTTACATCAAAAAGATTGAAGCCGGTCTGAGTGCAAGTCAACAGAATCTTGTAGATAATCATTCCATTGCTAAGCGTCAGAATCAAATCAACTCGCAATATGATAACTTATTAGCTTTGGCACGTGAACGCCAAAATAAATTGAACGAAACAGTGAAAGCATACGTGCTGGTGCGTGAAGCAGCCGATTTAGCTCACTGGATCAAGGATAAGGAAAACCATGCTCAAATTGCTGATGTCGTCGGCGAAGATCTCGAAGAAGTTGAAGTGTTACAAAAGAAATTCGACGATTTCAATGATGATTTGAAAGCGAACGAGGTACGTTTGGCAAATATGAATGAAATCGCTGTACAATTGACTTCACTTGGTCAAACGGAGGCCGCATTGAAAATTCAAACTCAAATGCAAGATCTTAATGACAAATGGAATAATCTACAACAACTAACCGCCGAGAAGGCGAGCCAACTTGGCTCCGCTCATGAAGTACAACGTTTCCATCGTGATATTGACGAAACTAAAGATTGGATTGCCGAAAAAGAAAATGCACTCAATAACGACGATTTGGGTAAGGATTTGCGTAGCGTGCAGACACTACAACGCAAACATGAGGGCGTTGAACGTGATTTAGCAGCATTACGTGATAAAATACGGCAATTAGATGAAACTGCCAATCGTTTAATGCAATCGCACCCTGACACAGCTGAACAAACTTATGCCAAACAAAAGGAAATCAATGAGATGTGGGACCAAATCACTACCAAGGCAACTACGCGCAAAGAAAAATTGTTAGACTCATACGATTTGCAACGCTTCCTCAGCGACTATCGTGATCTGCTTGCTTGGATCAATTCAATGATGAGCTTGGTCACTTCCGATGAGCTGGCCAATGATGTTACTGGCGCTGAAGCTCTTATTGAACGTCATCAGGTATATTGTTTTTGTAATATTTTTTGCTTTTATCAATTTTTTTAATTTTTTAATTTTTTTTTTTTTTTTGCTTTTGCAAAATAAGTATAAGTGTGAATATCCCAGCATCGAAAATCCTCAAAGGTTTAATATTTAAATTAAACACTTATTTATTCTTCATTTTGTTTGCCATTTTTCTTTTTAATTTTTATTTTTGTTGGTCTTCGTTGATAATTTCCGACATTGCCTACACACAAACATATGAATGTACTCGTATATTATTGGATACTCCACCACACTCACCGACTGTCGCATTAACATACAAATACCCTTGAAATCGGCATAAATAAAATGAAATTCAAATACCAACCATCTTATATTAATCATATGTACACCGGCATGCATACATATTATACATAGGCTCGTCGTGCTGAACTCGAATCAATTTTTGGACACAGTAATGCCCCTGGCGCATCTATGTTTCCTGAGGTAGTTTTACTCATTACAATCCCTCCTTACCAACTGTTAAATAATCCTTAAACGTTTTTAGTAAAACTTGCGCTAATTGTAACTACCTACATACATACATGTGTACAAACGAGCATGCAATCATTTACCTAATTCAAAAATATGCTATTTATCAAATATGTGCTAATGAATAATTTATTTAAATCATAACTGAAATGGTAATTAATCGAGAATTTTAGTATTTTGTGGAAAAATAAAATAATGAAATTACTGTATATAAGCAACATGAATATGCTAAAAGAAAATCTGCGAATGCTGGCTCTATTTAAGAATGTACCATAGAGTCGGGAAAATACGTTTTTTTTTATTAAATCGATTTTTTAAGAAATTAATTTAATTTTATTATTTATTTATTTATTTATTTATTTATAATATTTCTTATTCGGTAAAATTAACAATATTTCCTTATCTGTAAAATAAATTGTCAACTGGTGCAGCAGCAGTCAGAGGATAACTAAGTTTGTCCTAAGTTTCTGTATATTTAGTCTTTTTTTTTTGTGGTGTACTTGTCAAGCAAACAAATATTTTGTCCGACTGGCACCCCTTCTCATGAAACAGATGTTTCAGAATGTGGTCATCTCTTCAAGTTCTTAAAATGTGGCAGGCACCCCTTTTCAACTCTAGGTATCATTCCCATACCGTTTATTGCACCACCCACTCTTCTTTTGAAGTCGTCAAAAACGAATGGTTTCCTTTACATCTGTACGTAGGGATCATGAAATGTCGTTCGTTAGTCGGCTTATACCGATTTTCTCTCCTACCACCCACTTGTCCCGTCCATCGCGTTTTCTGGATGGTGGGATGTCAGATTTTACTACTTACAGTTGGAACGCGCCACCTTCGCTATAAGGGAGATTCCAGATGCATGCCCCTAAATCGTAGGAATTTAGTATAGCGCTGCGACTATAACTGCATTCTCACAAGCAAGACGCCACCCACTATAAAAGCCAAATTCTCCCCAGTTGATTTTTAGAAGGAACGGTTGTCGCCGGTATTCAGCGCCACTCTTGGTAATCAAATTTTTATATAGTATATAAATATATAGTGTTTAGACGTCCATTCGTGTTTGTATTTCAGTATAGACATTAAAAACTAAAAACACCTCCCTGCAAGAAGGCTTCCGATCATTTGAGCCAACATAGAATATGTCAGGAATGCATGACGACATAATCCGTCAGCGTGATGTTTACATTTGTATACATATACGTCATTCTTTCTTCGTTTCCTTGTGCATTTTTATCATTCCTGTCGGAGAAACCGAACACATATGAGCGACAGCATTGATGTCGAAGGAAATCAGTTTTGACAAAAATTTTCTCACACATATACATATGTACATACAAACATTATTTAGATGCAGTCTTTATTTCAATATTTAACATAAATTATGTACATGGCTTACATAGCATACAAGAGAAATAACAATACAACAATAAATTCGGTACAAAAATCAGCAAAATATTATAAGCAAAACCGCATATACAGAAGAAGTCTTTGATAGTGACACAGCTCCACAGCTCCACGAACGCCTCCGTCATAATCGCAGCCCCCTTGATGTATAAAGACATCTAAATGAAAAAAAAATAATGTGTCAATAATTATGTTATTAATGTCTAAATACAGTTGTACTTTGCACAGTTTTATTTAATATTTTTAAGTATGCTACTGCAACAAGATGAGAAGCGTCCGTTACAGTCAAACTGCTCCATTAGCTGATCTTTCCGTACCGCATGGAGTGGCCTTAAATAAACAAATGTTAAAAGCAATAAAAAATTAAGTACTTAATTAATCCAAAATATATTATTACCATAGCTTGTACAGGATCCTCATCATGTATTTTTCACTTCTATCTGCTACGGAGAAAACGATAAAAAATGCCGTTCTACTCGAAATTAAGAACATATTGTAGTATAAATAAATTTGTATGTACTCAAAAGACAAATATAAACAAAAAAAAATGTACATATGTGTTAGTGCTGCCCGAAATCGTGTGAGTGTATTGGTGAACCCATCAGACCCTTCTTGCAGGGCTTCTACTATATCAAAATTTGATTACCAAGAGCGGGCATGTCCACATTGCAAAAACAAAATAAAGCTAAAAAACTGTTAGTATACGTTTTTCACTAACATTACTTTTCTTCATGTAAATATGTATGTATGTTAATTTATTAATATTACTATTATTATTTCAAATGCAGCGCCGCTTTATTGAAATCATCGTACAAATTCAAAGATTGATTGCAATTGTAATTGTAATGAGCCAATTTTTTTGTTTAGCTTAAATTATCTTTATATTTATATTAATTGTGTTAAAAAAATGTATTTTTGTCGATGACGCAATGAGAAAACCGCTAGCACATACTTTGTTTGAATAATTGTAATGATTTAAAGCATATTAATTATTCATAGATTTGTGCGAAGTCTCCGTTATTTCAACTAATCCAACTTTACATTATATTCTGAAACTAAAATATGAATCCACAATTGACCATGTGGCTGTCTATCACCACACACTAAGCTGTGCATACCGTTCGTCTTAGACATACAGACGCATACATCCAATGCAATTTTGAGATATACGATTTTTCATTATAAGAAAGTGAGGTGAAGGTAAGGTCCTAGAATCTGCCCACCTATCGTAACAGGCGACTAAAATCCAATAATCCAATAATTCACGATAGTGACAGGTGTTTTTTTTTTTTTTTTTTTTTTTTTTTTTTTTTTTTTTTTTTTTGCGAAATTGATGGGATTCTTTTCCTACCAACAGCTCCATTCGCAAAATAAATATGGTAAACAAAAATATTAAAATTGACCTTCTGATCCCATCAAATACAGAGCACTACCTTGACGCCATGGATATTCAGCCTTGCCGTTAAATTGGCTGGTTAAAAAATCTTCACATATGGCTTTTGCTGCTTAGGTTTGTCGTAATGTATATATTTTTCCTCGTCAGTCACAATCCAATGAAAAACCCGAACGTGACGCAAATATAACTCCTTAACTCATCGGTCTTCAGACTTGAAATTTAGGGTATTCACAACTTTGTTTAAGCGGCTTAAAACATGTTGTTACTTAACTAGAACTCTCGTATAATCGGATTTATGTTTCTTGTGTATTTGAACTTGTTTTGACTAATACTCACAGCCATGTAATTTGTTTCTAACTAATAAGCTACATGTGCTTAGTCCAACTTGCCTCTAATTCAGTCCAAATTATTGTTATTTAAAATGTATTACTAATTTTGTGTTTCTTCGTTTATTTACTTTCACATAGGAGCATCGTACCGAGATTGATGCACGTGCCGGTACATTTGCCGCTTTCGAGCAGTTTGGCAATGAATTACTACAAGCCAATCATTTTGCTTCACCTGAAATCAAGGAGAAAATCGAAGATTTAGCAAAGACACGTGAAGAATTGGAAAAAGCATGGACTGCCCGGCGATTGCAGCTTGAGCAGAACTTAGATCTGCAATTATATATGCGTGATTGCGAATTGGCTGAATCGTGGATGTCGGCACGCGAAGCTTTCCTTCATGCCGATGATGTTGATAATAAGGGCGATAATGTTGAAGCATTAATTAAAAAGCATGAAGATTTCGACAAAGCCATAAATGGTCATGAAGAGAAGATAGCTGCACTCCAAGTATTAGCTGATACTTTGATTAATCAAAATCACTATGCATCCAATTTAATTGATGATAAGCGCAAGCAAGTATTGGAACGTTGGCGTCATTTGAAGGAGGGTTTGATCGAGAAACGTTCACGTTTGGGAGATGAACAGACATTGCAACAATTCTCACGCGATGCTGATGAAATCGAAAATTGGATAGCTGAAAAATTACAGTTAGCCACCGAGGAGAGCTACAAAGATCCAGCTAATATTCAATCGAAACATCAAAAACATCAAGCATTCGAGGCCGAATTGGCAGCAAATGCTGATCGTATTCAAAGTGTTTTGGCTATGGGTGAGAATTTGATTGATAAGAAGCAGTGTAGTGGTTCGGAAGATGCCGTACAGAAACGTTTGACACAAATTGCCGATCAGTGGGAATACCTCACACATAAGACAACAGAGAAATCATTGAAATTGAAGGAAGCGAACAAACAACGCACATACATCGCTGCTGTCAAGGATTTGGACTTCTGGTTGGGCGAGGTCGAAAGCTTGCTCACCACTGAGGATTCTGGTAAGGATTTGGCATCAGTCCAAAACCTCATGAAGAAACATCAGTTGGTAGAGGCGGATATCGTTGCACACGAAGACCGCATCAAGGACATGAACAACCAGGCCGATTCCTTGGTCGATAGCGGTCAATTTGATAGTGCTGGTATTCAGGAGAAACGACAAAGCATTAATGAACGTTATGAGCGCATTTGTAATTTGGCTGCTCACCGTCAAGCTCGTTTGAATGAAGCACTAACTTTGCATCAATTCTTCCGTGATATTGCCGATGAGGAATCTTGGATAAAAGAAAAGAAATTGTTGGTTGGCTCCGATGATTATGGCCGCGATTTGACTGGTGTGCAAAATCTTAAAAAGAAGCATAAGCGTCTTGAAGCCGAATTGGCCTCTCATGAACCAGCTATTCAGGCAGTGCAAGAGGCCGGCGAGAAGTTAATGGATGTTTCCAATTTGGGTGTGCCAGAAATTGAACAAAGATTAAAAGCCTTAAACCAAGCCTGGGCTGAATTAAAGAATTTAGCTGCTACACGTGGGCAAAAACTTGACGAATCCTTGATATACCAGCAATTCTTAGCTCAAGTAGAAGAAGAAGAGGCTTGGATAACCGAAAAACAACAATTGCTCTCTGTTGACGACTATGGCGATTCGATGGCCGCTGTCCAAGGTCTTTTGAAGAAGCATGACGCATTTGAAACAGACTTTGCCGCCCATAAAGATCGCTGCTCTCTGATTTGTGATCAAGGAAGTGAATTGGTGGAAGCTAAAAATCATCATGGGGACTCAATTGCACAGCGTTGCCAACAATTGCGCAATAAATTGGATAACTTGAATGCTTTAGCTGCTCGACGTAAGGGTGCGCTTCTTGACAATTCTGCGTATCTACAATTCATGTGGAAGGCTGATGTCGTCGAAAGCTGGATTGCTGATAAAGAGAATTATGTACGCTCCGACGAATATGGACGTGATCTTTCAACTGTACAAACTTTGTTAACCAAACAAGAGACATTCGATGCTGGTAAGCAAACTTACAATAATGAAATTATATATTTCAATTACACAACGGACTACATAATTTCTAATTATTTATTTATCTATTAACTATGTATGTACATATTTATGTATACACTCAATATTATAGGTCTCAATGCATTCGAACAAGAAGGTATTCACAATATAACTACTCTAAAGGATCAACTTATAAATGCAGATCATGCTCAATCGCCGGCCATTTTGAAACGTCATGAAGATGTTATTTCCCGTTGGAATAAACTTCGCGAGGCGTCCGAGACACGTAAACAACGCTTATTGGCCATGCAAGATCAGTTCCGCCAAATCGAGGAACTCTACTTGACATTTGCGAAGAAAGCTTCGGCCTTCAATTCTTGGTTCGAAAATGCCGAAGAGGACCTCACTGATCCTGTTCGCTGCAATTCGATCGAAGAAATACGTGCTCTGCGCGATGCGCATGCACAATTCCAGGCTTCCCTGTCCTCGGCCGAGGCGGACTTTAAAGCCCTGGCAGCGCTTGATCAAAAGATCAAGAGCTTCAATGTTGGACCTAATCCATACACTTGGTTCACCATGGAAGCTCTTGAAGAGACCTGGCGCAACTTGCAAAAGATCATAGAGGAGCGAGATGGCGAATTGGCTAAAGAGGCTAAGCGTCAAGAGGAAAACGACAAACTTCGTAAAGAATTCGCAAAACACGCAAATCTTTTCCATACGTGGCTGACAGAAACGAGGTAAGCACTTTTTATTCATTTATTTGGCCGTACAAAATATACTGCCTTGACATTGCAGTAAAAATCTCACAATATAGAGCACATTTAATTGATTTTTTTTTTTATATATATATATATATTTTTTTTACAACCGTTTCTTAAGAATTTTAATCTGTTTATTTTTGTTTTAGATATTATATGCTGGGTTATAATAGAGAAGGGTAAAATTTATATTTTTGTTATTCAAAAGTGTTCTTTTTTTAACCAGTGTTGCATTGTAATATGTTGTTGATATAAAATCTGCAATGTGCATTAAATTGCAGCTGCAGCTGCGCTTTCTGTTTAAAAGTGCTTAGCGAATAACTTTTTATTAACATGCTTTCACTCATATGTACATATGTACGAATGTATGTACATTATATATAATTGGTGCTTTGTAACCGCTGATACGATTTTCAGGCCGGTCTCTTGCTCAAATTTGTAGTGTATTTCTTGATGTTCTTCCATCAAATGAACGGACCTAGATATAGTTCGGCGCGATTAACTTTCCCGCCGAAAGGCGACGGCGATTAGAAAAATTGTATTTAAATTAATTTTGGATGTTGGTCGAGCTAGGATTTGAGCCCAAGCCCACCGCATGGTAGTACGCAATGCTATTCACTCGGTTATTGTGGGCGGTCACATAATTGTGTCCTAAATAAGGGACAAATCGATTTTTATAGCTTAATATTTAAAAATATTTTAGCTTATAAAATGATCTTCATTGTACTTGTGGTTGTTGCAGCAAAAGCTAACAAACAACAACTACACCCTAATCAGTACTAAATACTGATCAAAAATTATATATTTTTTAATTAATGGTAATAAGGCGCTATTATCCTAACATTACCGCTGCGATGTTACACTAAGTTTATTTATTAAATTCTATTCACACTGTATAATTATTTATTGATGATTGGCTTATAAATGGTAAATTGACTTAAGCTAAATTTTGAATCTGGCATTAGCAAAAATGTTAATATATTATAATTTTATTTGAATGTTTTACATTTTGCACATAGCTTCTACATATTTTTTATACATTTACTCATTTCCGCATTTAATTAATTCGTTTCCCTTTTATAATTTAGAACTAGTATGATGGAAGGTTCCGGTTCATTGGAACAGCAATTGGAAGCACTTCGCATCAAAGCCACCGAGGTACGCGCTCGTCGTGTTGACTTGAAAAAAATCGAAGAATTGGGAGCTTTGTTGGAAGAACATTTAATATTGGATAATCGTTATACAGAGCATTCCACAGTTGGTCTAGCCCAACAATGGGATCAACTTGATCAATTGTCAATGCGTATGCAACACAACTTGGAACAACAAATACAAGCGCGCAATCATTCTGGCGTATCGGAAGACTCTCTTAAGGAATTCTCAATGATGTTTAAACATTTTGACAAAGACAAGAGTGGTAAACTTAATCACCAAGAATTCAAATCATGTCTGCGTGCTCTCGGCTACGATCTGCCAATGGTGGAAGAAGGACAACCTGATCCAGAATTTGAAGCTATTCTCAATGTTGTTGATCCGAATCGTGATGGTCATGTCTCATTGCAAGAGTATATAGCCTTCATGATTTCAAAGGAAACGGAAAATGTTCAATCCTACGAAGAAATCGAAAACGCTTTCCGCGCTATAACTGCCTCCGACCGCCCATACGTTACAAAGGAAGAGCTATATTGCGTAAGTATATACAAATCTATATCTATATTACCAAAAATATGATTAGTATATATTTTTAAAAAAATGTTTAATTAATTTTTAGAACCTTACCAAGGATATGGCAGATTACTGTGTGCAACGTATGAGACCGTATATGGAACCCCGCTCTGGTCAACCTATTAAAGATGCCCTTGACTATATAGAGTTTACGAGAACACTGTTTCAAAATTAAACAAATATATTAAATATTAAAATACTTTTCATAAATTTAAACTAAAATATTTCCTGCAATTACTTGGATAATTTAGATTTAAGTACAATAAATTCACTGTCTACTTGAGTTTAGCTTGCAATAGCACAGATATATACATATATTGGGCTGCCAAATATACCAACTACAAGTCATAAAAATATTATACCCATGCAATTTATATTTGAACGATATTTATTAGTCATTCTTAAATATTGCTGTTTTATATAACCAATTTGTAGTTTTAGAATACTACTTTAATACGATGACATAAATACAATACGTATTCGGATCTTGTTGTATCTGCTTATAAAAAAATACACTTTAGCTCCTAATATTTTTTAAAAACAGCGGCACTTCACACCTCCTCCATAGCATTTTTGTTACTAGACTTGAAAAATAACTAGAACCACTAAATTTAAAAGGTACATACATACGTTACTACTTACCTGTCTTTATGGTGACGATAAATAACAGTCAGAGTTATATTTCCTTTCCTCTTTACACAGATGCATTTATTTGACTCAGATTAAAAGTTTTATATATACACATGCACAATATGCAAATATTTTATGAAATAAAATATTTCAAATTATAAAAAACTTATGTATCTTATAGCTGCATGTCTAATAAAGATAAACATATACGCATTAATCGAAATTCTGTTTATTGATTATTTGCAAAGCAACTGCCAAATAAGTGGTCTTCAAAATCAGTATTCTTAAGTGAAACACCTTTGTGATTTGGCGGTGTTCTACAGCTCTTCAATAAAATAATCCTTAGATGAATCCACATCGGCCGTCAAACGGTTTACACAAAGGTACTACAGCGGTGGCACTAATACGTAGGTGTCAAAATTTAAACTGTGTAGTCGAGATATTTAGCTTGCCTTCCCTCTAACCTGGAGTATTGCCCACTTGAAATTCAATCTTGTACTTTTTCTAAGCGATATATCGGGGTTAAAGTATACCTTATGAACTAAAGGTGAAAATTGAGTGTTTTTCAATGTCTAGAATTTAGGCAGAACAGCAACCAAAAAAAAAAAATATTTTTTTTTGAAAAGGTGTTATTGATATCAACTGTTACACAAAAACAAATAAATTTTAAGTAAATGAATTTTATTATTTTAGGCATATACATTTCACAACAAAAATTTCTTTATGCTTTCAGTATAATCGGCATTCTTAATTTTCTGCTCTAGTTCTGGTTTTGAGAGCCATTCAAATTTTTTTACAACCGATGTATCTACTTTACCACCATTTAGTGCTGCTCGATAAAAGAAAACTTTTGCACCAACACTTCCTTGGCGCATCTCAATCGGATACTTATATTTGTAAAATCCACAAGGAGCATTCCCATAGAAACTAACCTCTAGTTTGGAACCACATTTTTCAAGTAAGATACGTTCAGCAGCCTGTCGCATGGTTTCACCGTCGTGACGAGGTCCTTGTGGTAACAACTGTGTTGCTTGTTTATTTAGTGACTCCTCTATGATAAGATATAATGTATCCTCCAAGCATCGGTCAGTTGATGCTGTTCGATTAGCTGCATCATCGGCCGTGGAACGAAGTGCGGGTTGAAAGTTTTTCAATTCCTCCAAGTAGGCATCTTTTAAATCTTGTGCTGTCTGTTTGGATACGCTGTCATCGAGATCCACTTCCATTTTCCCCTTTTTTATTAACTCACTCTGAAGTAGATCACGTTCATGTTTTAGTTCGTGATTGGACTTAAAGCTGTTCTCAAATTCAACACGCCATAAATGGTCCTGGAACTCTCGTTCCAAAGGGTTTAAGCTTTTAGATACAATGGGTAGACGTTCCACAAGAACAGATGCGTACAAGTCCCATTTTTCCTTTGATTCTTCTATAACCGCCCTTGTCGACATTGGTCGCACTATTTCTTTTACATTACTGGACAACAATGTTTTCCGGCCAATAGTGAAGATTTTCGTTACTTTCCGGTACATTTTTGGTAAATATAATTCCTTTTATTTTTATATGATTTCAACTTAGTAATTAATTCCGTAATTAACCTATTTATCCGCTGTGAGCAGCTGTTTACAGATAGTCAGATGTTCAGCAAAATTGTGAATTAACCGCAAATGTGTAAAAGAAGAAGACATATTTTCCCGGTCAAATACTTGTAAACAATTTTGGTTTGGTGATTTACGCTGAAGTAAAGTCCGGGTGAAAATACTGAAACGGAAATATAAAATTAACCAAAATGGTATCTCGAAGAACGGTGGACTATGTGGATTTATCTGGAAAATTTCGACTTAATTCTTTTGATTATCACAAACAGTATTCTCATTTTTACGCTCACCGCCTAAGGGAGATGACAACTCTCCTCTTGAGCTGTGCAGAGGATCATTGGGGCAAAAATTACTCGATTAAAAAGCTTTGTGACTTGCGTGAGGAACAAACAGACACTTGTATTATTATCGGTACAATTTATAAACACCAGGCCCATAAGCCTAGTATATTGCGAGAGATATCAGAAGAAAATCAGCTTGCTCCACAGCCACCGCGTGAACACTATGCCGATCTTGAAGATAAATTAATCCTGGAAGATGAATTGCAACGAGTTCGTTTGTATGGTAAAGTAGATGGTAGATATATGGCTTCGGGAATAGTATGCGCTGTTTTAGGATCCATTGAAGAAGACGGTCGATTTGATGTAGAAGAAATGTTATACTATGAGTCGGGGCCGCAGAAACCTTTACCTACTTATGGTTACAGCAGAAAGCTTGTATTAATATCAGGCATTAATTACGGACAATCAGTTGATAATATCGATGCTCTTAATTTATTTCAACATTGGTTGTGCGGCAATATATTTGGAAAGCCGAGTTCAGATATAGTGCGTGTAATAATTGCTGGGAATTCAGTACGAGCATCAGCAGAAGAATGTGAAAGCACATCTTTACAATCTCGTAGCATTGGTAACAATGAAGCAGTGGAAGCGATACAATCATTAGACAGTTGGTTTTGCTCTTGGTCCAAAAGCATAACAGTTGACATAATGCCTGGAGAACACGATCCGGCTAACTTTATGCTACCTCAACAACCATTTCATCAATTTATGTTCCCGAAAGCTGCGAAGAATGTTTCTTTCCGTGGTGTACCTAATCCTTACGCATGCTCTATAGATAATACTCAAATCGTTGGTTGCTCTGGACAAAATGTACATGACTTAATTAGGTGTACAATGATCGAAAACCCCTTGGAAGCACTGCGCAGTACGTTAGTGTGGGGGCATATAGCACCAACAGCACCTGATACACTGGCTTGTTATCCTTATGTTGATTGTGATCCTCTTATCTTGCATGAATGTCCTCATATATATTTCACAGGAAACTGCGATACATTTGAAACGGGCATACATAACGGTTCCAAAACACAAAGAACACGATTAATTTGTGTTCCCAACTTTTCTAAAACTCAAAGCATCGCCGTGGTTGAAATGGAAACATTAGATTGTAAGGAAATAAAATTCACGGCAGATACAGATTAAACAAGAATAAAAAATAACAGTATATCAATCGACGAAACCTAATCAATTAATAAAAGCCATTTATTTTCTAGAACTAAGTATTGGTTTTATTATTTTAAATAGCTTTAATGTACAACTGGACCCAAAGGTTCTCCGCGTATATTTCCCAAATCAAGTCGTGAATCAATTTGATCATCGATTAATCCAATTACGGCTATGTTATCTCCACGGATTATATGCAGGCCCAATACAATCTGTTCTATACCCGATGTCGTAGAAAAGACACGTTCGTGTGATTCGTCAAGGATCACATTAATAGTTTGATCGAATCCTTTTAAGGTACCAATAAAATTGCGACCATCTGCGGTTATTATAGACACTGTGTGATTTATGTAGGCTTCCAATCCTGATGCCATTCTGAGCTTCTTTTAATTGTCGTATATAATCGTCGAAACCAAATGAACGTTTGATAAACAGTATTCCTCTTCTTCTTATATTCGAATAGGTCAAAATAGACGAGTAAATTAAAAATCAGGGATATCTAGAAAATTAGATAGGCTGATATGACATTTTCGTTTCACCAAGTTCTGGTTACTTAACTTCTGAATTTATTGAATGGTAAATTTTATTACATTGACAGAATAGGCCTGTAACAATAATATAATGCAAACATCCAGTAAGCAGTAGCTAGTATCAATTTGATACTATTTGGAATTCACTAAGCAACACTGAGTACTAAAGTCACAAAAAAGTAACAAATTTTAGATCTGCAATTTAGCAGGAGATAAAAATCAAAAAAAACTACTATTTGCTCTGTTTGCATTATTGTCGTAATGTATGAAATCGATAGTGTAGAGAATTAATATTTGTTTTAATAAAAAAAACAGTAAATAATGATATAAATAATTTTTTATTTGGAATATCTGCAGACAAAATTTTACCAGTCTTAACATTTTAACCGAATAAAATGTTAAGACTGGCCAAATTTTGTCTGCAAATATTCATCTTTTTTTTTCTGCTCATATTTTCGTATTTAGTTTTTTATATTAACTGTATATTTAATAGTTATATCAATTCATAAAAAATAATCTACATTCTATATGAACAACATTTCACCATATCGTTTAACTCTAATTAGGTACATTGATATTTACTCATGGCTGCAAGCATTGCAAGCATTAACTGATATCTTGGCTGATATCTCTAGCTGGGCGGCTGCCAGCGGTCTAATTTTAAATAAAAACAAGTGCTGTGAGGAATCTTAGGCAGTCACCTATCTATACACCCACTGCTACCAGACGCCGACTTGCTATACAAATTATTCTTCCGGTCATCATGTACTCTGAAGTCGTATACAGCAAACATGACAGTTTTTCTGCTCGTAAAATTGACGTTATGTTTAATAATGTCACACGGTATATGTTTGGTCTTTCCAAATATGAACACATTTCGTCTTGGAAAGATATTAGGATGTACGATTGCGGACTATCATAAAGCCAGAAATTGTATTTTTCTTTGCAAACTCATTATGACTCAATCACCTAGTTATCTTTTTTCCAAGTTATCGTTTACTCGGTCAACCAGAGTAGGTAATATAATAATACCTTTTCATAGATCACAGCAATCATCAAGGCTGTTCTTTGTCAATGCTAGTCGATTATGGAACTCTCTTCCTGCTAATTTAAGGAGGAAATTAAACAGAAGCAATTTCAAGAACTACATATATATGCATTTTAAAGGCCAAATTTTAAACATAGACTGACCATTTAATAATTGTTTAAGTTTTTGTCATACTCAACTCATTATATATTATAATTATTTTTATTTTTATTACTATTTTTGTTAGGGTATATGTAAAGTAATATTTACTTATTCTTCACACTATCTCTGTTGTACTAAAAAAGATATGGAAATCTTATTGTACTAATGCTTTGTTATTATTATTAAATAAATAAATTAAATTAAAAAATATTCCAGGCCCCATTTACCTGCGGTAACACTCATTGCAAGCTTCAGAGTTTGTACAAATCTGCACAGCTCGAGATCTATAATTTCGAAACATTTTATAGTATGATTTCAACAATTGCCTTTATAGCGGTCAATAAGTAAGTTCATCCAGCCGCTCGCCATTTGTAACTTAAATGGTGAGTCCCCAAAAGAATGCTATATGTCTTGTATAAGTCACTCCATCCCAAAAATGAGCCTCTTCGTCTTCTGGCTGCATTCGATTTGCTCCTTGGTGATTCTTTGTGCTCGATGAATATCTAGTTACTAAATATTTATTAAGTCAGACTATATATTAGAAAATTTTGTATTATATAAATAAATTTCAAGTATTTTTCAATGAAATTAAAATACTATTTATTAACATGTAATCTCGAAATGCGCAAGTGCGATATTGCGCAATAGTTTGTGTGGTGTAGATTACCCATAACTAGCTTGGATTCAAAAATAATTTCACACATGTTGTCATTGTCATATATGCAAAGGTGCAGCAGCACTATAAAATGGGTATTCCCCCGATTGGCTCCAGTATTAAGAAGTTAGAAGACATCCCAAGAGTCATTTGCATTCAATATTCGATTTCGTTCAGAGAGTTTTATTTAAATTGTAATTCTACGTCATAAATATCATTAAAATAAAATAGAATGGCTTCAAAAACGGCAGCAGATTTACAGCAAGAGTTTGCTAACAAAAATGGTGAGTAAAATATTTGGACAACTTAAATAACAAATAACACTAGTATACACATATATCTTTCAAATCTCTTTAATATTTTTTTTTTATCAAAAGCATTGTGTGCGCAGCAGCCTCTATCAACAATCCTCGTTTTAGTAGTGCGATCAGGAAATTCGGATGTTTTAAATAGCAAAAACTATACTTGCCATCATGTTATAACCAAAGTTAAACAAAACTGTGAGTGACTATATCCACTTTTCATTACAAATACTTATATTATTATTTTTTTTTGTAGCTGATGGAGCTACCAGAGCTTTTACAGACGAATTCGGAAATGTATTTGCTGATTGGGAATCGTTTAAGGAAGACAATAAATTTGACTACGGTGTTATAGTTTCGCCATTGAATGGTGTTTACACTTTAAATAATGACGGCGTAGTAAAACTAGAACAGTGGGAAAAACGAGCTGATAAAATAGCCATTGAAAGTAAAACAGCTGGCGAGTTCCAACAGGACTTTGGGAATGAAAGTAAATAAATCTGCGATTTTGAATAGTTCTGATATTTTCATAGTTCTATTTAAAGCTATATCTCTTGGATCAAATTGTAACTCAAACTTAATTTATGTACTGGTCACAAATTCAAAGGAGTTAGAAGAAGCGGAAAATTCCCGGGAGTTTACTTCTCATCCAGTGATTCGTAGCAGTGTTCCCAAACGTATGTACATTATCCCTTGAATAAAATAAAAAACTTAATTTAATAAGTTTCCGTTTGGAAATGGTATGCCCAACCTCTTAATGTTTTAAATATGTTATAAAACTATTATACATACAACTCGTGGTGGGCGTCTTGATGTTTTTTCATTTGATGCTAGCTGTATGGAAAATAGAAACAATGAATTAATTTGAAACTTACTATTATATGGGGTCAAACGACATTTTTTCTAATGAGCCGCTTCATGTAACCTTTATTTTTTCAAATGTTGCTAAAAAAAAATCATTTTCAGAAGAATACGAAGCTTTCGTGGACGAGGATGGGAACTCTTATAACGGTTGGGATTCTTATAAGCGCGAAAATAAATTGAACGACGGTATTTTGGTCGCTCCTAAAAATGGATGTTACAGCTTTGATACTAATAATCGCGTTGAGCTTGAAATTTGGAAAACTTCTGAATTGAGTGTAGCAATTCCCGTTATTGAGAGCGAGCCTCCTACGATTCGTGAATATCATTACAACTTAGCACTAGAAGGTAATTAATTCTTTTATAACTTTAAAATTTAAACTAATCAATTGTAAAATTAATAAAAGTTCAATCTGATGATGGATTGACAACGTCCACGATTAGTGTGTTGGTAACAAAGGAAACTAACATGTACGATGCTTTAAACTCGCGTGAATTTTCGTCCCATACTATAGTGCGAATATTAAACGCTACAAGTACGTGTAACTTGGTCATAATATATTATTTAATTATTTATATATTTGTAACTAATACGGATAATTACAGCTGGTGTTCAAAGTTTTAAGGATGAGTGTGAAATTGAGTACATGTCATGGGATTTATTTGTTAGTGGAAATAGATTACCTGAGGGTATTATGGTCGCACCTAAAAATGGAAGTTATTGCTTTGATAAAAATGGGGACGTTGAGTTAGAGGTATGCTTAACTCCAGCTTGCATACCAAAGCCAAGAGGAGATTCACTTCGGCCTACTATCAGAAATCTTCAGCAACACTATGCGGTTATGAGTGAGTAGAGAAAGATTAATAAAAGAAAAACATACTTATTAATGCTGTTCCCTTTTTAGACAAATATTTGAAAGAGGATACAATTGTTCTGCATGTACTACATACCTCGAAATACCATGATAATGTTCTAGATGTAATTGAGTTTAAAGACATTGTGGTTAAACAGAATAAATGCAAAGGTATAAAATGCATACAATTAAACTCATATTATTCCTAGTCTAAAAACGAGTGTATACGAACTAATATCTATCTAATATCGAATAGAATTAATTTAAAAACTCTTAATAATTCTATGACAGATGACACTAGACGTATTTAATTGCAATTTAAAATCAATTTGTCTCTTCACTACCGCTTTTTAATATTTACTACAGTAATATTGGTGTTATATAACTTCGATTTACCTTTTGCTAAGTGGTATTTATGATAAAATTATCTATAGGAGGGTCAACACTCTTTTATGAGGATGAAAATGGAGTGTCATACCTCAACTGGAACACTTATCTAAGCAGCTTGCCCGGAGGGATGTCGGTTTCACCTAAAGATGGTGAATACACATTCGATGAAAATGGTAACGTACAGTTGCTGGTCATGTACAAGGAAGGAAAAGTACAAGCAAAGACAAACACAATACGATCAGTTTCGAATGTACAACAGGACTTCGCGAACAGCAGTGGTTTTAAAAGAGAAATAATTTGGGATTTGTAAGTAAACGACCAACCATACAAGTAAATTATTTACTAGGCGTATTCACCTAGATAATTAACTTGAGTTATTTTGAATGTCATTACTTAAAAATATTTTCTTTTAAAATATTGCCAAACAATGAAGTCGATGCATCTTTGAACTTAAGTATTTAAACAAAACAAAAATCTTTGTACATACTTTTATTCTAGACTGTCTAAAGATCAATCCACAGTTTTGAAAAAAAAAATAAAACAACTCATACCTGATCAAGAAAGAGGAAATACTAAAATTGCAGAAATGCGAAATGCGATATTTAGTAGCGTTTGGGCTCAAAGTGCGTAAAAATGCCAAATAACAGTATGTGCAATTAATATCTTTCAAATAAATATTTTAAAACAGGAAAATACACCAACTATAATTCATTGAGTGCAATCATTTACGTACTTGTTACCAAGTGTAATACTAAGATAAAAGCTTTGAACTCGGAAAATTTTTCTTGTCATCCAGTTTTTCGAACTCGAAAATGTATAGGTAAGGAAAGTTTTTTTTTTATTTCATTTTATTTTATTTTTTTTTTAGATAAACTGACATGTATTTAATGTTCACTCCTTTGTTTATTGGTCAATTTACTTCTTCACTTGTTATTAATTGTTCTTAGTTTAAATATATTTGTTTATTAGCTTTTAATATATGTACTCGTATGTATTTTCTTTAGATGATGACAACAGCTCTAATTGTTGTATGATATTTGTGGATGAGTTCGGACGCGTTTATCGAAATTGGAAAACCTACATATCCGATAATGATCTTCCAGAAGGTTTAATGGTTGCACCGCGCAATGGCGTTTATACAATCGATGATGATGGTAAAGTCCAATTGGAAGTGCACACAACCCCAAATGGTGGTGATGGCAGAAAGCTAATTGGTTTCACAGACTCAGCAACAGCAGTAGCAGGTCTTGGTGCTGCTGCAGTACCAATAGCAGGTATGATGATAACCGTCGCTCCCGCTGTTTTACTGGGCGCCGGTGCTGTATGCGCTGCCACTGCTGCATATTCAACCGTGCGATCAATATATACTTTATTTGATCGTAAACAACATGAACAACCGATCGGTTTAAACAGTTCACAAGCAAGAAATGCTTGGCTTGGCGTGGGAGCAGGAGTTGTTGGGATGGGCGCAGCACGTGCTACGCGAGCTGTTACAACCGCCGCAGCTGCTGGACGAGAGGTATCATTGGTAAGTAATACAAATTTACGATATGTAGTTTCTACTACAAATAAAGGTCGTTATGAAAGTTAAGTAAAAAATTGATGTCTGCGAGTAAAATTAACACCAACAGTTATTCTGAGAAAAAAAAACCTCCTAAATATATTTCTGAATGAAATATCGTAACATGCATACATCCCTGCAAGAAGGCTTCCAAACATTTGAGCCAACATATGTTAGAAATGCATGACGACATTTGCTGTCAGCTTGTAAACCGATTTTCTTATCACTTTCCGAAGGCCGAAATGGGAAACGTGATGTTTACATTTGTATACGTGTACGTTATTCTCCCTTCGTTTCCTTTTGCATTTTTGTCATTCTTGTCGGTCAAACAGAGCACAGCTGAACGACAGCATTATACCAAAAGAAAACAATATGGACGTAAAAAACAGCAGCAGTGCCGTACAAGCCGAACACATATGAGCGACAGCATTGATGTAGAATGAAATCAGCTTTGACAAAGATTTTCCTTCATATATGCATACATACAAACATTATTTAGATGCAGTTTTTTTGTTTCAATATTTAACATAAATCATGTGCGTGGTTTACATAGCATACAAGAGAAATAACAATACAACAATAAATTCGGTACAAAAGTAAGCAAAATGTTATAAGCAAAACTTCAGCTCCCCGAAAGCCTTCGTCATAATCGCAGCTCCTTTGAATCATAATGTTATTAATATTGTAATGCAGTTGTACCTCGCAAAGTTTTGTTGAATATTTTTGAGATGTCCTGCTGCTGCAAGATGAGAAGCGTCCATTCTACTTAACCTTCTCCATTAACAGAATTTTCTGTACAATATTGAGTACTCTGAAATAAAAGCAATGTAAAGAGTTATAAAAAATTAAGTAGTTAATTAATCGACAATATATTATTACCACAGCTTGCACAGGCCGCCCTCATCATATACATATGTATTTTTCACTTCTATCTACTGCAGAGAAAACGATAAAAAATGGCGTTCTACTCGAAATTAAGAACATAATATTATATAAAACGGATAATCCGTTTAACTACATTCTTCTTAAATTTGTATGCACTCAGAAGAGAAAGATAAACAAAAACCCATCAGCCCATTCTTGCAGCGATATAAACTTCATTTCTTCTTCACTTATGATGTATATACAGTTACTCACAAAAATGAGTATACACAGGTTTTCGTAAGAGAAATACACAAACTATGCAAAATTTAGTGAATGTATTTGAATTTTTTTGATGCAAATTTGAAGCTTGAACTATTATCGACTATATTTGAAGCTAAATTAATTAATTTATTTAGCATTAAGAAAAACTTAAACAAAAAACTAAAATTATTGATAAATTTAGGTCACAAAATTGAGTATACATTCACATTTCAAATGTGGATATCTTTTTGTCCGTTAAGTGATCACGTTAGCACTGAACTACATTTTAAAGATTTTTTTGCCTTAGATACGAAATTTATTGTTTTTTTTTGTGCATTTCTTTCACCATGGCTGGTACCAGAAAGGAGACAACTATTGAAATAAGAGAATTAGTGATAAAATTGTCCTGTGAAGGTAAATCGTACAGACAAATTGGTGAAATTATTGGCAGACATCATTGAACAGTTCAAAAAATTATAAATAAATTGAGTTATGGAGGAACGTTACTAAATTCCGGTGGGGGAGGCCACAAAAAAATTTTGACTGGCGTTGCTGAACGCAATATTGTACGTAAAGTGGAAATAAACCCAAAGATTAGTGTTCCTAATTTAACGGTCGAGGTGTCCAAAACAATAAATAAACCAATATCAACTAAAACAGTTCGTCGTATTATTCACAAAAATAATTTACATGGACGGATAGCACGTAAAAAGCCATTTATCTCCAGTGTAAATAAAAAAACGGCTTGAGTTCGCGAAAGCTCATGTTGATAAGCCTTTAAGTTTCAGGGAAAGTGTAATGTTCACTGACGAAACAAAGATTAATATTTGTGGATCTGATGGACGCCAAATTGTATGGAGAAAGCCAAAGACGGAGCTACGAAATAAAAATTTAGTTGGGACAGTGAAACATGGTGGTGGTTCAGTTATGCTTTGGGGGTCTATGGGAGCTAATGGAGTGGGTCATGGACCATTCAATTTATTGAAAGCAACATGACCAAGGACATTTATTTGAGTATATTGAAGTCTAATTTACGTGCAAGCATGGAAAAAATAAAACATACAGCGATGATAGTGAAAGAATGGTTACTTTATAACGCTCCAAAACAGCTTAAGACTCCTCCATAATCCCCCGATATGAACCCCATAGAACATTTACTAGTTTAGAACTGAAATCAAAGCTGAAAAAATCTAGTTCCCATATCAAAGAAGAACTTAAAAAGGAAATTATCAGAATATGGGGCGAAATATCACCTAATTTGACAAAAAAAACTAGTAATAGATGCAGCTGGTGGACCCACAACCTATTAAATAAAAAAATAAAAAATAAGTGAACTAAATTGTTATTTTCCATGAATTGTATACTCAATTTTGTGACCTGAATTTATCGATAATTTTAGTTTTTTTTTTAAGTTTTTCTTAATGCTAAATAAATAAATTAATTTAGCTTCAAATATAGTCGATAATAGTTCAAGCTTCAAATTTGCATCAAAAAAATTCAAATACATTCACTAAATTTTGCATAGTTTATGTATTTCTCTTACAAAAACCTGTGTATACTCATTTTTGTGAGTAACTCTACATACGGATGCATGTAATTTGAAGCTTTAAGCATTTCTGTTAAAAATTGTCAAAAAAAATAATGATATTGTATTGTAGTAAAAAGTTCGTTCGGTTTTTATCAAGAGGTGGTGTTATTTTATGTTTTACAATTTTTCTTCAATCCATGCGAAAAAGCAGCCAAAGCGGCTGAAAAAATTTATTAAGTTTATGGGCCCGATACTGTAAACGAACGTGCAGCACAAAAGTGGATTGCTAGGTTCCGTTCCGGTAATTTCGATGTCAAAGATGCACCACGCGTCGGGAGGCCTGTCGTCGAAAATTGCACTTAAAATCATGGAAATAAGAAAACATAACATCACGTGAACACTTATTTAATTGCTGTGGAACTAAAGAAAAGCCAGAAAACCATTTGGAACCATTTACATAAACATGGATTCAAAAAAAAGCTCAGTGTTAGGGTGCCACACGAACTAAAGCAAAAAACATGATGGACCGAATTTCCATCGGCGAATCGCTGCCGAAAAGCGGATTGTGACTGGCGATAAAAAAGGGGTAACTTACGACAACATCGAGCGCAAACGGCCGTTGTCAAAGTTTGGGGAAGTGGCCCAGACGGTGGTTAAGACCGGCTTGACGGCCAGGAAGGTTTCGCTGTGTATTTGGTGGGATTGGCAAGGAATCACCTACTACGAGCTGCTCACCTTTTTGTCCGGACCTAGCACCAAGTAATTACCATATTTTCCTGTCCTTGGCGAACGCGCCTAATAAGATTGGCCTGTGAAAATTGGCTCTCCGAGTTTCTTGCCAATAGGGACACAGCCTTCTCCGAAAGAGGTATAATGAAGTTGGCATCTCGTTGGCAACAAGTTTACGAACAAAACGGCGCTTATTTGACTTAAATAGGAGAAATATACACAAAATTATCATATTTTGAAAAATCAATAAAAAAACCCGAACGAACCTTTTACTTCACCTAATGTACAATATAATAAAAAAAAAAACAAATTTATTATTAGGCTACCGAGATAGTGGCGAACGGTATGAACATTTCTTCCATCGTATTATCGGGAACGGGAGTTGCAAATGGAATGTTGGATATAATACTAGTAAGTTAAAAATATTTGATGTGTACATTTGTTTTTAAATATAAATCACTTACTTACAGAAAGTACGTGATGATGAGAAAGTGTCTAGCCTCGATATTGTACAAGTAGCAGCATCTTTTGTGCTTTTCACACATTCTGTCCAAAATTTCCGTTATGCATCAACTTTAGTAAATGAAACTCAACACGCCACAATTCAAGACTATCGAAGATCATTAAGTAATCGCCAAAGAAAAATGTTCGATAAAATGTCAAAAGAAACAATTCGCATTCGAGGTGCAAACCGTGGAAACATAGATATTATTCGCGGCGTTAATGACTTGCCCACCAAACAATATCTAAATGATCTATATAAAGTTAACAAAAAATTAAATCAAGCTAAGGTACGACCCGCATTTGGAGTGGCAGGTGACGGTGTCGTGCTCAACAATGAAGTTTCTATTGATACAAAAGTTTTACGAAATAATCTTCAAAACAATCAAGGTCCTAATGTATTGGAAACAGTTAAACAACCCATACCAGTATCACATTCAAAAGTTAATGTTGCAACGAACTCGCCATTGTTCTTGAATAATGCACTGGGAAGTATTATTCTACCTAATAATATCGAGATTTTTTTCGCTACATATGGATTTAGACTTTTTGAACTTATTAGCAATCAGGAAAGCTTTGAAGATATAATAACCATAATGGCAGATGCTTTTTCACAAGATACATTTAATTTTTTAATGAAATTAGCACAAGAATTTGTTGAAAAGAAATTAGATGATTTGAAAAAAACTGTCAAGGTTTTTATATCAGCCGAAACCATATTATATCGTATATTTGTGTATTGTGAGGAAAACTGCTTTGAACAGTCTTATGAATATCTCAGTCGTAAAAAAGATGCAATTATGAAAGCTTTACAAGACTATTTTCTTTCATTTAGAACATTTTCTTATAGCGGATCCCGAAGATGTGAAATTTGTTCCGGATTATACTCCATTGTCGAGTTGTAGAAATTTTGATAGAGAAATTTCAAATTTTAAGCACAATAAAAAAACATATGTATTTAAGGGATTATCGTGGCCTTATTATATTAGGAAAAGAACGACGTATTTTATATCACAATAAAAAAAAAAAAATCATCACAATTTATATAATTACAAATACATAAGGCAACTAAATAAACTGAGTTTATTATTTATCATTTTATGACACTCTAGTAATAATGTAGTCAACACGCACTCACTCACGCTCGCCTGTGTATGTATATAAATATAAAACTTTTGTATTATCCCTTTATACGTATAATAAAGTACTTTACCGTTCTTAATCTATAAAAATATTTTTTATTTTCTCATCCCTGCAAGAAGGCTTCCGATCATTTGAGCCAACATATGGCAGGAATGCATGATGTCATATCCCGACATCTCGTAGAACAATTGTCCCCATCACTTTCTTAATGCCGCAGTGACAAATGTGATGTTTACATTTGTATACGTGTACGTCATTCTCTCTTCGCTTCCTCGTGCATTTTCGTCATTCTTGTAGAAAAAGCCGAACACATATGAGCGACAGTATTGATGCCGAATTAAATCAGCTTTCATATTTTACATACATACAAACATTATTAAGATTCAGTCTTTATTCCAATATTTTTTCATAGATCAGGTACATCGTTTATATACAAATAAATAATAACACAGCAATATATTCATTATCAAAAACCTGTAAAAACCGCATATACAGAAATCTTTAATGGTGTCATGCGTAGGTGACGCAGTTCCTCAGCTCGTGTCATCTTCGCGGCTCCTTTGAAGTATAAAGACGTCTAAGTAAAATGAAAAAATAATGTTCGAATCATAATGTTGTTAATGTCTAAATACAGTTGTACCTCGCCAAGTTTTGTCGAATATTATTAAATTTGTTACTGTAGCCAGATGAGAAGCGTCGATTCCAGTCAACCTGCTCCATTAGCTGATCTTTCCGTACCGTATGGAGGGGCCTTAAATAAACAAATGTTAAAAGCAATAAAAAATTTAGTACTTAATTAATCAAAAATATATTATTACCATAGCTTGTACAGGATCCTCATCATGTATTTTTCACTTCTATCTACTGCGGAGAAAACGATAAAAAATGGCTTTCTACTCGAAATTAAGAACATAATATTATATAAAACGGATAATCCGTTTAACTACATTCTTCTTAAATTTGTATGTACTCAGAAGAGAAAGATAAAGAAAACAAATTCTGCATATGTTTAGTGTTACCCGAAATTGTGTGAGTGTATTGGTGAACCCATCAGCCCGTTCTTGTAGGGATATCATGCACTGTCTTTTTTTATTTGCTTGCGGCTGCACTTTCGATTGTTCATACGTCGGGTTCAATTTCAGCATACTCTCTACAACTTATAAATTCTTTAATATTGGCTTTCAGTGCAACGTTCGTTGCGGGCTTGGAGCTATAAACATGATCCTTAATATCCTTCTCACCCAAAAACTACACTTCTTTCATAAAAATAAATAGACTTTCATCACTACAGCCGGTTCTACGCACCGGAGTTGACCCGGATTTTATCCGGCCAAGGGCTGTCACCCTTTCGGCGACCTAACCCCGTTTAGGTCTACAGGTAACCTTAGTCTAAGTACGTCAACGGAGCAACACCTCGCAGCTGGGTTGCTCCAAATCCTTCTGATCAGGGCTGGTGTAGAAACCAACCCTGGACCGACGGATTACTTCTGCTGCGTGTGTCAAAGAAGACTTCACCACTCATCCACCTCGGTTAGATGCACCCAGTGGAATGGTTGGAGTCATCTTAAGACCTGCTCAGGCCTTAAGACCCACAGCGAATGGACCACGAGTTATGTGGCCCCATGCTGCCAGCGTCCAACCGCCCCCCCCCAGCCTCCACGGCAGTGCCTTCAGCACACATACCCACTCTGGGTAATTTGCAGACCTCCAAGGTCTTACTGAGCATGATTCCCTCCAACCTCCACCCCCATCCCCACCCACAACCAGCTCCTCATCCTCCTCCCGTGCGAGGGCTACCCAGCAGCTCCTAGTCCCCCGCACCGTCTGTTCCGTGTGTCAGACCATAGTGCGTCGGAACGTGACCTCAGTCAGATGCAACTTCTGCTCTGGCTGGTGTCACTTTCGGACGTGAGTGGAGCGATGCGTACGTTGCCCCATGCTGCCCCCGCATGTCTCTACAAACCCTCCGCCAATCAACACCAATGTGCGGAACCAACTCTCGCGGGTAGTACAGCAGCAACACACACCATCCACGCATCACTCCTTCACCCCCCGAATCACGAACGTTCCCCCGAGACAGACCCGACTTCTACAATTCAACTGCAACGGACTCCAGGGAAATATTGACGAGATAGTCGACTATATGAGCCGGGAGCACCTGTCAATTGCTGCGATCCAGGAAACCAAGTTGACCGCCCGATCAGATCTTCTGAACAGGGCCGGATACAACATAATCCGCAAGGATCGCGAGCGAGACCATGGTGGGGGCTTAGCGTTCATCCTGCACAACACCGTGCAGTATCGTCTCATCGATGGCGACATCGACCGCAGGGATACTGCCCTAGAATGTCAGGGCATAGCTATCCGGTCAGGCGATGTCGAGCTCGAAATATTTAATATATACATTCCTCCAGTTACAAGTTGCCCAGCTGGATACACCACTGACATAGGTGCGCTACTCAGGGGCGAAAACCGTTTGGTTTTGGGCGACTTTAACGCACATCACGATCTTTGGCATTCTAGCCTGTCAAATGACCGTAGAGGAATGGAGCTGGCGGAACAGATAGACGATTCGATATTCTGCCCAATGAACGACAACATCCCCACCAGAGTTATGGGTAATTGCCAAAGCTCGCCAGACATAACAATTGCGAGTGCTGGTCTGATAAACAGTATGGTCTGGCGACCTATACTGACGTTAGCATCGGACCACTTGCCCATACATATCTCGATTGACAGGCCTCCCGACTTTGTTTCCGCGGACCACCGGACATTCGTTAACTTTAAAATAGCTAACTGGCCCGGATTCACGGAATTTACCGAGAATGCCTTTAGTGCTCTTCCCACTCCAACTGACGTCACCGCTGGTGAACGCTCATTCCGCAGGGTCGTCGTGACCGCTGCCGCCCGCTTCATCCCGGCAGGCCGAATCGCGGAAATCCGCCCAAATTTTCCGACAGAAGTGGCGGTACTAGCAACCAGGCGCGACACCCTCCGAAGCTCCGATCCCGGGAATCCCCTAATCAGGGATTTAAACGCGGAGATTCGAAGAGTTGTTAACAGTCATAAGCGGAAAAAGTGTGAGGAGCACCTAAGGACCTGCAACCTCTCCTCTGGGGCAACCAAGCTCTGGGCCACAATCAAGTCGCTGTCTAACCCGACGAGTCGCGATGACCGGGTGGAAATTTCATTCGGTGATCGCGCCTCGTCGGACCCGAAGAGATGCGCGAGCTATTTTAGCCGTCTTTTTACATTGCATCCCTCGGTAGATAAAGCGAAACGACGTGTGCCCCGCCGTATGCGCAAACTGCTAAACCCCAGCGCTGTGCTTGATTTCTCCAGGGAGGAGGTTCAGGGGGTCATCGGGAAGGCGAAAGCCTCCAAATCCATCGACCCCGACGGAATAAGCATGCTGATGCTGAAACATCTTGGACCAGCGGGAGCAGAATTCTTCGCGAGGGTCCTCAATCTGTCTTTGACCAGATACCCGACGTGTGGAAAATGGGCAGGGTGGTCCCGCTACTAAAACCGGGGAAGCCAGCCAACAAAGGAGAGTCCTATCGGCCGATAACTCTCATCTCCCCAGTAGCGAAGACACTTGAGGCCTTACTGCTCCCGACCTTCACTCACCATCTGCGTCCAGCAGCGCATCATCATGGCTTCCGAAAAGTGCACAGCACCACAACAGCACTTAACGCCATAAACACCCAGATAGTCCATGGCCTCAACCAAAACCGACCCTGCGCGCGAACTGTCCTGGTAGCACTGGACCTGTCAAAAGCTTTTGACACAGTCAATCATTCAGTGCTACTAACGGACATTGAGGAATCCTCATTACCGCCGGGGTTGCAGAGGTGGGTCATGGGCTACCTGAGTGGTCGACAATCATCGGTAATATTCCGAGATAAAACATCTAAACCCAGAAAAATTAAACAGGGGGTTCCGCAGGGTGGTGTCCTCTCCCCGCTACTGTTTAACTTTTATATATCGAAACTCCCTCCTCCACCAGAAGGGGTTTCCCTAAACTCGTATGCCGATGACTGTACGATAATGGCGTCCGGCCAGGATATTGATGACCTCTGCTCGAAAGTAAACGGCTACCTCGCTGATCTCTCCCACTTCTTCCAACCGACAAAATCCTCGGCTACCCTTTTCACCAGCTGGACGAAGGAATACAGGCTTGAACTGGATGTAAAGGTCGATGACGAAAAAATTCCGACGATAAAAATTATTGGGAGCAACTCTAGACAGCCTGCACTCCTTCACTCCGCATACGACCGCGATTGCCGCAAAACTCCAGAGCCGCAACAAAATACTCAAAGCGCTAGCCGGCAGCACCTGGGGTAAAGATAAAGAAACTTTGCTGGCTACTTACAAAGCAATTAGCCGGCCGGTCGTAAACTATGCTGCTCCGATCTGGACGCCGGGGACGAACGGGACGCAGATGAAGAAGCTACAGGCTTGCCAAAACACCGCCCTCAGGACTGCGACAGGAAACCTCCTGATGTCGCCGGAGCATCATTTGCACAGGGAAGCATCTATGCTACGAGTTAAGGAGCATATTGCTTTGCTGTGCAAGCACTTAATAGAGGCTGAACCTCCACCTAGGCACATCAGAAAGGGAGTACTAGACTTTAAGGACACGATCCAGCAACACACACAACAACCGCTGGACAGGAGGGCGTATCGACAAGCACTGAACGCCATTCACCAGGAGTCAGTTAACACCTTCATGGACTCCCTTCCAGTGAATGGCGTACTCGGAGAAATACCACCACCCATAGCAGACAACGAGCTCGAGCTGCCTCGAGAGACCCGCGTGACCCTGACACAACTCAGGTCTGGATATTGTAGCAGGTTAAACTCCTACCTATCCAGACTAGACCCCAGCATACCTAACGTATGCCCGGCATGTGGAGAGTCCCCGCACGACACTAATCACCTCTTCACATGCCCCCTCAAACCTACTCATCTAACCCCCCTCTGCCTTTGGTCCAACCCCGTCGAAACAGCTCGTTTCCTGGGCCTACCATTAGATGACCTCGGCGACTTAGGCTAATTAAGCCTGTACCTAAGCGGGGTTAGCGAACCGCTACAACAACAACAATACTAATAGCGGATGAAGCAGCTGTAATATTTTCCTCTGCCTGCACTCTACGCATGCGTGAAGATAGTTAATTTTTCTTATTGCGTTCGTCCCTCGGCAGGGAATGTGTATTTTAAAAAGGCTCCTCATACAAAACTATCAGAGGCGGCTTAGTATAAACGGCAGGCCACTCATTTGTTGGGAAAACATCACAATGCACAACACACACACAGGAGAAGGAGCTCGGCTGAAATATATATAATTTTGCAACAAAACATTTTGAAGTCATATGATATGTTATACAATAGTACTAGACTGCTAGAGTGGTTTGCCAAAAAGAATATATTGATTTTTTTTAGGTTACAACAGCCGTAACCCTCGGTAGGCAATTTCAGCACTCTCGAATGTTTTTTCAGGCATAAAAGTATCGGTATAAAAGCTCAGCTATATATCGACATTTTAGATATTCATAAAGCTTGCACAGTTTGGAAATCTGATAGCAAACATTTACAACATGGCTGGCCGGAGAATTCCTTAAATACTTAAAATAATACAAATGTAGATTATAAGTATAGTTTTATAGATTTATATTTTATTTAGAGAATTAGATATGGTAATACATCCTCTGAATTTAATGCATAGTTACTTCAAGTAACTAAATATAATATTACAGATTATTACAAATAATAATAATAAATTAAAGAAAAACATCCAATTAAAAAAACTTTATTAATATCGTTTAACATATAAAAAATCTTATCGGTTTAAAACATTGATGAATGTTTTTAAATTCATTAATGTGTCTTAAAGTATTTATGTATGTATCTTCGATAGCATTTAAGAAATATAAATTTTAAACGCGTGTCATTTGATGCATAAAGTTGCATTGCCATAGCGCTTCAATACGTTCTTTTAGTAATATAAATGGGTAGGCCATATAAATAAGACAACTATGTGCTACCTTACCCATAGAGTCAGGATACTGATGAGTTAGTAGAGCTAAAAGTGCCGTAAATGAACAAAGTCCGGCTGTAAACAATATAAAGAATGGTAATTCCTTTTTAGGATAAACTGAGACTTCATGAAATGCTGGTAGCAATTCGCGGTCTGCACATTCGGTACAAGTGGGATATGGATAAAATAGATGTCCGCGTTCTAAGGGAGAAGGTAACATACGAAACGTACCTTCCCAAGTGCAATGAAGTAAATTTAATGCTCCCTCTACATTTTTCCAATGCCTCAGATGGAAAAAGGCATACGCAAGTGCCTCTGAATCACCACGTTTTAATATGTGTTCTGGTGGTAAAATAAATGGTTTTGTTTCCAATAAGTATTTCGGTACGTGCGGATTAAACTCTACAGCTCGATGTATCGCTTCTACCACATTACACTCATTAGTATTTAACCCACGCTTTGAGGCTATATCGGGCGAGAATTTATCTGCCACAGAACGTGCTTTTAACAAAGCTGATGTATAGCAAATTGTTGCCGACTTGGGTAAAGAAATGTCATCATACTTAGCTAAAACTGCTTGACAGTCAGCATATGCTTGCATTTCGAGCAAAGTTTCAATAAGATTTTCGTGTATGTTAAGTACATTCATGATAGAAGGTACTTCTTTACTAAGATCGCGAAATATTTTCGCTGCCTCCTTCAGTCTTCCAAGTTTTCGTGCACACATAGCTAATCGGCGTTTAATATAGATTAGAACATTAAGATCCCTACGATGCATAGCCTCAGCTATGGGTCCTTGGTGCTGTGTTGTTTGTGATCGTCGGTAATTTATCTCTGCTATTTTTAGCGCAGTTTTTAGAATCTTTTCTGCTTCTGTTATGGTTGTCGCTTCCTCTTCAGCTAATAAGATATAAGCAGAAGCACATTCCGGATTAATTTCGAGTGCAGTATGAGCTGATTTTATTCGCTGTACTGGATTACGTTCACGCCATGCCGTTTGCATTATTTCATATTCCTCTTTTCTTGCATCACCTAGATTCAGTAATAATTTTAAATAAGATGGATTTATTTTGCTAATATGTATTATATTCGACATGTACAATGAATATAATTACCATCACACGTGAAGAAGGTTTGGTGGTCTTGTGCGCTCAAATTCATGTCATAGTAAGTAAGAGGCTCTTTGCTTGTAGCCCAAAAGAATCGTTGATATTCCGCTCCTCGGTACAAGTTTAGTGGATTACGCCACACTTTACATTCGGGCATTTGTTGGCTTGCTCCGGCAGCTTGATTGCCGGGGCTTCCGGATGCAACATTTCCGCTTCCATTTCCACTGACGTTATTTTCATTTTGAGTATCGCTGCCATTTATCCACGGGCTAATGTGATTAATTGATACTTGTTCTTCAAAATGGAAATGACAAATTAAAATCCACTCAAAATATATTGGAAAAATTGTTTGCTTCACCTATAAATGAAGTGCCATATTTGCGAAAATACCACCATTCAAATATTAATATTAACCCCGAGATAAGACTTGATGTTCCAGTCAATGCCACATAAAACTTTGGTGTTAGTGTGCTTAGGAACACGGAGGAATCCCACATCCTGCACTTGTCTTATTATCGCCTGTTTTAAACTTCGTTTTAACTCTATGAGAAAATTTTACTAAATAATTTTTTTCTTTATAATTATTATTACTTTTTGCTTTTCCAATTTGTGCACTTTTTTAATTTTTCACAAAAAGTGATTCCAATTTGGTATTAAAACTAAATTATAGCAATGTGTCGTGTTTGCAAACACAAATTATTACAAATATTTCAAGATTTTACGAGGGTTGAAAAGCCTCTTCCCCAAAAATTTCTTTACTAGATTTGTGGAGATTTTTTTTGGAATGTGTAATTTGGATTGTTGAATACAAACTGGTGTAAATTAAAAATAATGATTTTTCTCTTATGTTATTTTTACGCGATTGCATTTGATTTGCATTCAATATATTCTCACAAAGTGCGTTTTCTGTAACATTTTGGATAAAGAATTAATTTTGTTCCAATCATTTTTTCTACTTATATGAAAATGGCAACTTCGTACGCTTTCTGGATGTTTGTCGACAGATGTCGCACGTGTTTCTTGTGGTTTTTTCATGGCTTTCGTGCACCATTTTCTCTGATTTTCTATTCGTTGAAAGGAAATAATTTTCTGCGTTATATTCAGAGTTTACTTATTATTTTAATTTAAAATTGGGACGCGAAAAGTTGTGAAATATTTCATAAGTTTGGTTTAAAAGTGCTAGGCAAAAGTTAAAAATTATTTTATGGGGCAAAAATGTTGTTAAGAGCCGAAGATAAGTGAAAGGGACGCGTTGAAAATTTTCACGTTTAATGCCGGTGTGGTTGGTATAGAAGTCCGTACCGATTTAATATACACATTTATTAATAAATAACGCTTAGGAAAAATTTTCCCACATAATTAATATAATAATTTGAATTGGGCTTGTGTATATTGGACAGTTTTGAATTGTAAGAGAAAATTTTGATATTTGTGAATATCTACCATGGCTGACGGTGCCGTGCTAGATCTTTATGCAGAAGATTTGGATAAAGATTTTGCCGCGCAGAACCAGGTGAGTAAAAGGGATAGAAGATACCTCATATTCCAGTATATAAAATATATTTTTTTAGGAGGAATTTGCCGCTGAAGGCGTTGATTTATACGATGACATAGGTGGCCCGACGGAGCCCGCATCTGTTTCGGCAGGTGTGCCAGGCTCTGTAAACTCAGAAAACGCTGCACCAGTTGGCGCTGACGCAACCGGTAATGGTGGCGGTTCAAATGGTCTCTACCATAAAGGAGGTGGTAGTTTAACACCAAATCATATGGGCAGGCGCTATCAACTTTATGTTGGTAATTTAACTTGGGTAAGTCGTATAATATTTTAATATAATTTAACATAGTCCCATCCGCAATTAATTTTGATCAATAATATGTTTCATAAAAAATATAAGAAAATAAATAAATAAGCAAAGCAGCAAATATAATAATAATTATTTGAATGCATTAAAAAGTAACCAGTTGTATGAAGCTTCAGCAAAAAACTAAAATTCGATTCGTAGCAGTGGCTAGATTATAAGAGCAACAATCGGAAATAGTGGTTGAATGCTAAGTTATGGTATAGTATGATTATGGCAACGCTAATGTAAGCTTAATACATTACAGAAAAGATAAATTTTTATGTTTTGTACGAGGAGCTTAGGCGTAAAACGCTTTACCCTTAATATATCTGTAGACATATATAAAATATTCGTTGCACACTGTTTTTTCCCAAATCAACCTGCACTGGTTCGGCCGATTCAGATAAATATTCAGTTGGCCTCGGAAAATGGCGTTAATTATTAACGCCGGGAAATGGACAAGTTACATACCCATACGAATTGGTATTTATAGCTCGATTTACTTGAAATTAGATACATAGTTAACTTTTTGCTTAAATTAGCAGAACCTCTACATTCTACTCCGGCAAGTGTATCTTGCACGTTCGACTTTCTCGAAAATATGGAATTTTCAGTTCGATTTACGTGAAATTTGGCACATAGTGCTTAGATAAGCAGGAATGCCACTTTTCTCTTGTGGAAAATTGGCACAAATGTTGTTTCTCCGTTTTCCAAATTTTTTTCCGGAACGTGTAGCAGGAACGACTTTAATATTCACAGTTATGTTTATATAATAAAATAACAAACTGTAAAAGCTAACAAAAGCAAATCACAATATTTATTACATTGCACCTATGCACCTAATTTTATTAAATTAAAATAATTTATTTTATTAATATATGAATAAATATATAAATAGATTGATATGTCAAATGTAATATTCTTGTTTCCCGAAAATTGACTAGAGACCGGGAGAGGGCCTACAAACAGATTGACAAAAATTTGTTTAATTTTTAAAATAAGCATATAACGGGCGTAGGTACAGGTACGTTTGTTGCGCAATATTATATTCTGTGACTACGGAATAGCATGTGGTTCTTATACCTTTGTTGTGAATAGACAGAGATCCGAATAGTACGTTTGGTTTCTTCGAGACATTCATATTGATATTTTTGAGAAAATCTTGAGTAGCGAATAAGGGACACCCACATCCAAATACGTATTTAGATAAATAATATAATAAAATACTTATCTTACGTGGTATACATAAAGGAAAAAACGTGAAAAAATATAAATTTTAATTATTTTATTTTGAACTTAGTTTTTTTTCTTAAAATTAAAACACACATCCATTCCTATAGTTTTTACATATGTATATGTATATGTGTGTGCATATGTATGTGTATACTTACGAATTAAACAATTTATAGTGGACAACCGATCAAGATATCGCTAATGTTATGCGCGAAATTGGAGTAAACGACTTCCAAGAGGTAAAGTTTTTCGAAAACAGAGCCAATGGACAATCTAAGGGATTTAATGTCATATCCCTTGGCTCAGAAGCGAGCTTACGACTGGTATTAGAGCGTTTACCAAAAAAGGAGTTGCATGGTCAGGCTCCTGTGGTAACGTATCCAACAAAGCAAGCGTTAAACCAATTTGAAAGTTTGCAGAAGACACGTCCGGTACCGCCGTCACAACAAAACGGACCTCCACGTGGTCCAGCCCCACCAAATATGGGTGTGGGAGGACCAATGCCTCCTCCGCCTGGAGGACAAGGTGTTCCACCGGGTCATCCACCACGCATGATGAATCCCAATATGGCTCCTGGCCAGTATCGACCACAACACATGCCACAAGCTCCACCAGTCGGACCAAATGCAGGTCCACCACGTATGCAGGTATGTGATACAAGAATAAATTATTTTTGTATATAATATATAAACTAAGTTACATTGAATTGGTAGTGTTCAATTAAATTTATTAACACAAGACTATTTTCAAATTATGCTCGTAATTTATTTATTTATACATTATTGATTTAATTGTAATATGCTAGCAATGTTTATCTGAGTAGTACTGAATGCCATTCTACAAATAGTTGCTTTAGTTTACGATTTAATTATATTTTTTAAACGGTTTTGAACTTCAAATTACATTTTTAAGTATTATTTATTTTCCTTTGATTTTCTTTGTATAAGACAATTTTAATCTGGTATTTGGGTTTCATAATTTCAGTTTACAATAAAAAATCATCCGAAGCTCGAGGTATCATATATTCTATCATTACTTTTAATATAATTTCATAAATTGATACTGCAATTGCGGTGGCGTTAGTGTTAACCCTCAAGCGACCGCGCATAATCAAATAGACCTATGGGATATATTAGAGAAATAAAACACTAATTAACTAATAATCGTTTATTTTTTTGTATTTATATACATATATTATCATAGTGTTTAGACTAAAAAAATCCAAGTGCCGAGTGGTTAGCATTCCGTACTGCCATTCGGAAGGCTTGGGCTCAAATTCCCATGCACCAAAATCCAAAAGTTTTAGAAAATTAAAATAAATAAAAAATTAAGCTAAATTTTCCAATTGCGGTCGCAATTATATATTAAATTCAGAACAAAGGCAATTATAAAATCAAATGAGTCGTCGATTAGACGCCGCGCGACCGCTTTTAGGTTAAAGAAGAATTGTAATCAATTTTATGATTTCTAAAAAAAGAGTAACTTTTTATGCAACGTTGTGCTTAAGTAAGAATTCGAATTCGTGTAAATTTCAATTTGTTACATTAAGGTTTATTTCATGACAGCATTTGACATTTAAAACAATAGCCATTCAGACACATGTATGTTTTTTTTTTATAATTATAATAAATTTTTTACTATGTTCCAATTTGTTACCAAATCCATTGCTGGCATATACGCCGGACTCCTGGTGTCGGAATTTATTAATCAGCAGCCTGCAGAGTTTTTAACTATTAGTTGCTCTTCTGAATAACTTTATTATTAAATTTAGCCGATTATAACTTGTGTTGTGAGCCTAAATATAGTAAATTCTTGCTATCATATTACATTTAACTTCTGTTTTTCTACTTTTTCTTAGAAATTATATGTACTGTATATTATCAGATGTAAATTTATGTACATACATAATACATATGTATGTATTGCATTGCATGTTTCCCGTTTATTAAAGCGTTAACATAATGTAAATTTTGAACCAAGTACTTTTATAATATTTCAAAAATATGTACAAAGCCCTTAAAATATGTTAACAATACCTTAATCCACTTTTAAAATTTAATTTCCTTTGATCAACATCTTCTGTATGCTTATATAGATTGAATTCGGATAATTTGAAATGTTTAGTTAAAAATTTAGAAGTCGTAAAACATTTCTTTTGTATCAAAAAAAAAAAATACCATGTCAAACAATAAAATATAAATATTTTGTGGTTATTATTATTATTATTGTTTTATTCCATGTTTTTTTATGGCAACTTTACGGCGCGTTAATTCGTCTTCTTTCACACATAATTAAACAATCAATGAATATGATGGTTTATCATATACAACAACTACTTTGCAATATTCTATAATTGAATATCAACGCAAAAAGGCACCAATGCATCAAGGAGGCGGACATATGGGGCCACAGCAGCCATTACCTGGTCCTCCACCTCGGTATCCGCCCAACCAAGGTCAATGGGCTGGAGCTGGACAACCACGGCCGAATGGACCACGCACCGGACCGCCAAATGGGCCACCACAACGACCACAAATGGTAAACTTAATCAAAATTATAAATATTGTTATATTCTAGTAACTATATTAGCTGAAGATAAGAATACAATATTCAAAATTATTTGTATACACCCAAATGTATGTAAGTTTGTTATCGTATACACATTATTTTACATGTAATCACGGAGAAGCAGATTGAAAATTATTTGTCATATATATTAGTTGTATGTGTCGTAGCTTACGCAACAACAAAAAACTTACACCAACGTATTCAATAGATGCGCATTCAGATTATTCAGATAAAACAAATACGAAAAGTTGATCGACCTTTATTTGCATGTGTATGCACTACCAAAATAACGTTACTGATAGTTTTTTGCGCCAAATCTATATTTTATATCAGTTTTGTAGTATATAACGTTATAACTTACATATAAATAATTTAATCTTATTATAGTTCCAGGGTCCACCGGGCGGTATGCCAATTCGAGGTCCACGTCCTGATTGGAATCGACCACCCATGCATGGTGGATTTCCGCCACAAGGTCCACCTGGTGGTCCACCCCAAGGACCTCCACATATGCAAGGACCGCCTCGTGGTCCACCTGGTGGTCCGCCTCAAATGGGTGGTCCTCCAGGTGGACCGCATGGAGGTCCCGGTGGACCTGCACCGCATGTAAATCCAGCATTCTTTGCTCAACCAGGTGGTCCTCCCCAACATCCTGGCGGTCCACCAATGACTGGTCCACCACATGGCCCACCAGGTCCACCACAGCAAGGAATGGGTATGCCACCACAGCATGGCCCACCACAACACTTTGCCCAACAAGGGGCACCACGAGGTCCATGGCCAGGCCCATCTCCGGCGAAACCTCAAGGTCAATTCTCGGACCAGCCAATAGGTCCCCAATTATCCGAGGTAGAATTCGAAGAAATTATGAGTAGAAACCGTACTGTTAGCAGCTCAGCTATTGCCAGGTAAGAAACAACATTTTTTGCAATAAATAATCATAATGATGTCATGTTAAACTGTATGTATCGCCATTTTTTTTTTCTTTACAAGTATTGGATCAAATTTCTTTATAATTTCGTTGTTTTTTTTTTTTTTTTTTTTTTTTTTGTCTTCTAGAGCCGTCTCAGATGCCGCAGCTGGGGAGTATTCCAGTGCGATTGAAACTTTGGTCACAGCCATTTCTCTTATTAAACAATCGAAAGTGGCACACGATGAGCGTTGTAAGATATTGATCAGCTCTTTGCAAGACACATTGCATGGCATTGAAACGAAAAGTTACAATCGTCGTGAACGTTCACGATCTCGTGAGCGCACCCATCGCCATAGACAACGTCGGGAGCGTTCATCATCGCGTTATAGAGAACGGTCACGCGATCGGGAACGCGAACGTGACCGTGAACGTGAAGCAGGGTAAGCTACTAACCTACACTTCCTTGTTATATTAATGTTATATTAAATATATTTGTTAAATACATAATTACATTTGGGGATATCAAACTTTTGCAGATATAGGGAGCGCTCAAGAAGCCGCGAACGTGAACGTCCCGTTCCAGATCACTATCGAGATGATAGGTAAGTAATTTTATTGCGTAAGTTGTTAAAAATGTATTTTATATTTATTTTTATTGAAATATTAAGTAGCTCCAGTCGTTCTGCACGTCCAAGAAAATCTCCAGAAGCAATTGCGGAAGTCGTTAGCGATGCACCGTCGAAGCGCAGCTATTATGAGGAGCGTTATCGTTCGTCAGATCGTGACCGGGAACGCGACAGGGAGCGAGAACGTGACCGTGATAGAGATAGGGATCGCGAGAGAGAACGTGATCGGCGTGAAGAGCATCGTTCACGACACTAAGAAGAGAGGGTGGTGTTTAAAAGTAATCTTAACAAGCACTTGCAAAAAAATTAAACAATATATATATATCTATATACAGTAAGGGATGTAGCAACGGTACTCTTAAAATTGGTACATTGTATTGTATGCATTGCTTAAATCATAGGAAAATAACCAATAATTATTCAACTTTTACGACAGGCTCTAGCAACGTATGTTTTGCGAATTTACATTTTCAATTGATTTCAATTTATTTAATAGATTTAAATGATCTTTAAATACAAAATATTAAATAATTTTTAAAGAAATCGCAAAATGCGATTTCAGTGGGGACGGCTTCACATGAAAACAACAATATCAACTCAACTCAACAGAATCGTCTTGATCCAGATATGAATGGAATAAAACATATACATGAATAGATGTAAACTCTTATGTCGGAAACTACCACATCTTCAATCTAATATATAGCAAGATATTACACAAAAAAAAAATGAAATTAAACATACCACTTTTCACCACATACCTACTCTATGGAGACGTAATAAATATGAGTGGAATGAGAGTTATAATACTGAGCTGTTTGATGGAAATCCAATACAAGTTCAACAAAGGAAATGGCTATTTCTAAAAGCGGCATCAGCAGAAATAATTTAACAGTTTACAGAATCTTTCCTGCGCGTTCACATCAGAAGAAGATTGTATATTGATATTTCCATTTATTAATAAAAAATAATATTTTAAAATGTAAAATTGCAAACTATTGTATTGTCTTTTGTGCTGAAATACCTTTTAATTATATAAACACCATTATATATAGTTATCTTAATATATATTATATACACATAAATGCACACCTGTATTGTGCATCGCTGTGGTTATTGTTATTTATGATTTATCAGCTTATTATATTTCTTAATATTGTTGACATTCCTTTTACCGACATTGTTTTCAATGCTTATTTGGAATTGTATGTAATATATCCGTATACTAAATAACATAGTACCTTCAGTCTATTTGCACACATACTAACAATCTTCATAATTTTTTTTTTACTCTTGACGGTGTTAAACTTTTAGGTTATTATTTGATTTTTTTTTTTAAAGTACATTGAATTATAAGTTGAATATTTTTGGTATATGGTTTTATGATAACGTTTTATGACCAACAATTGGATAGCTCTAATTTTTTATTTATTTGATTTTAATTTTTTTATTTTCTGTAATTGTCTATGTATATTCAAAAACTTTCAAATAGGCCATAATAGTTCTTATACAGAAGAAAGATTGTGTTTTTTCGCATTTAACAACTCATGTACACTGCGCGAACAGTTATTTTATTCATTGAATTTGTATAACTAATATAACCGAAATTTCGTGAGAATTTAAATTATGTAATTATATTGCCAGTTATTTATTAATTTCGATGTTGATATTCACTAAGTATGTTTTTATTAGATCAAAGTTTAAATATATTTGTGCTATAATATGTTTTTATGAGGTTAGTATAGTGCAATGCACCCAAATTTTGCTTCCGTTTTTCCAAGTAGTCCATCGCTTATAAATTATAGATAACTATTAAGAATTTTGTAAAAAAAAAAAAGAAGTACCATTCAATACCAAACATACGAGCTTACAAATATTGAATGAAAACAGATTTTCTCAAAAATTTTCAAGGAATATACCTATCTACATATATATACATTATATATNTTATTTATATGTATATATACATACCATATATATAGGGATACATTAAAAATGTTTTATTTATGATTGTAAATCATATTAAGTAAGTTGTCAGACTGAACCATCTATCTTTATTCCGTATTTTTAAGTCTTGACACTGCAATATGTATCCCACAATGCGATGTTCATTGTTTTACTTTTCCGTTGTAAAGTTCCGACTCATTTATATATATTGTATATTTGATATTTACATTCACCTAAAGATATATTTTGAATGCATTGATATGATAACCTTCCTTTTTTAGAGCGAAATTCAGTATTTTGCATTGAGAATTATTTATCATCAATTTGTTTGCATTAACATATTTATTTTTGTAATTTGATTTTATTTTTTAAAAAACAATGTATATTCTTTTTATTAAAAAAACTGTGATATAATACGGCAAAGATGTGCATCATCTGTGATGGTGGCATTGTTACTGGTGTAACTATAAAATATTGATATGTTTAAACAACTACAGGTAAAAAAATACTCAGATATCATATTCATATTGAATAAGTGGTGTATGTAAGGCTATGGTTATCGGATGTTTCAGTATGTAATTACTATTTATTTATAATCTCAGCCAAATATGGAGTGAATTAGCTATGGTTGGAATGCAAGTGCCACAACAACTATCATCCGATAACTTAAGCATTTATAATGTTATGTTTTCTATTCTAATTTCGAGCGTATAGCAATTATTACTTTAATTGAAATTAATTCATATTGAATTGTTTAAAAGTTTTCTTTGCCATTTCACATTTGAAGTGGTATTAAATTATCACACCTTAATGTATTCAAAGAAATATATTGAAATGTTAGTTTATCTTTATAAACATCAACTATTGTTATGAATGAAATCAAAGACTTCGTACTTCAAATGTACGCACATATGTGTCCTCCCTAACAAGAAAACACGCTCCTTGCAAAAAAAGAAGAAACAAAAAAAAAAACCAGCAATACAAATATTTACAAGCATGATAGTTATTAATATATACATACATACATATGTAATTAATATGTTTCTAATTTATTGAAAGAGAAAATTAATAGTAAGATATTGAGCTTGTGTGCAAGAGAGTCATCAATTGCTGGTCTGGTAAGTGTTTAAAATATTTCTTTTTGGAGAGGATAAGTACATTGACACATATACATATTTATACCTCGATACTTACATATATTTGTATGTATTCCAATCGAAAATGCAAAATAATTGCTTTTAAGGACAAATTGCTACTCAATCAATGCCAATCTACAATTTATACAAGGTTACACAGATTTAACGTATCCTATCTGAATTTATAGATATTAGCGTGACTATTGGCATTTATAGTTATGTTAAACCTTTTATACCATAGAGTATTTCAATATAGCAGGGATACTTTTTTTTTGAGAACCATTCAATGATATTTGCATACATTTTTAAACAGATAAGGATTTTCATATTGTTAGCATTAACATTTATAATTAAGCTTAGAATTTCAATCTGGGCTTAAAATTTATTCTGATATACGAAATACACAATCATAGTAGATACCTAGTATTTAGGGGCGGTTTTTGTACTTGAACTGACTTGTGTATTTTAATTTTATGTAAATTGTTTGCTCTTTTATAAAAAAAAATACAAAAAATTTAGCAATTAAATTTATTGTATATTGAATACAACTCTCTTGATGAGTCAATATAAAAGGGTTTCAAATTTTTTTTAATATATTCTAGAAATAGTATGTTAGCTAGTTTGTTCCTTAAAAAAATTCGTAACAGCAGATACAAAATTGTAAACTCATATTTTATTAAAAACATGAGAGTTTAAAGGTTACAACGTGTCAATTATATATATATTTTTTTTTGTATAAAATGGTGTACCTTTATATGACGAATAAATTAAAACCTACAATTATTAATGCGTATGCAATATTAACTACAAGTACAGCGCATTGGATATTAGGTCGCTCATTCAGGATGCTACTGAAAGTAAGTACAAATAGATATTCAAATTTACACATACATTCGTTAAATATTCATAAGTTGATTAGTTTAATGTAGTAATTGAACGCATATGTCAAAATCAGATGATCGTGTTTGTATTTCAGCTAATAATAAGCCAGTACCTGAAACAGATTTCACAAAGTTAAATAGCTATGTTCGGTGAAAAATGTCCGTAAGAGTTAGCTGGTAACGAAATGTCAAATTGCTCTCTCTCTCTCGTTGCTTTTTGTCTCAACGCGGTTCGAAAAAAATTGGTAACAATAAACATATTAGCTGACATTTGTTACTTGCTAATTCTTACTGTCTTTTCTTGCTTATATTTACTAAGGTGCGATATTTTAAAATTTTGTCAAAACAACAATACATACATACAATAAATAAAAAGCAATAGAATATTCGGTACTTTTTTTCGTCCATAAAACCCAATCAACATGTTTTATTAATACTCAAAGAAGCCTTAATTCAAATTTACGGGTAAAACAGTTCCAATAATTCGGGCTATCACGAAATAATTGTTATATATCATTCCGTAGCTGTTTATTAGTTTTAGGCTTCTTAAGGTGATCATAAAAATTGCGTCAGAATTGTGAGGTACCGATCACACAGACTTTAAGTAGAAAATATAGGCAAAACATGTGGCATCACTTTCTGGATAGGCGAAAAGTGGTTGCAATAAAAGGCAATAAAACTTTTCGAAGATGATTAGAAATTTATTGAGAAGAAACGCGAAAACATCTAGAAGCAACGAAACGCAGTTTAACCGAGAAAACTTGTGATTACTTTGAAATTGAAATTTTTTAACAAGAAAATACAAGGAGAATTATTTGTCAGTAATTTTAAAAGAAATAAAACCGAAATATACAAAATAAATTAGCAGTTATAATAAAATTAAAATAATTACACGGAGGTAAAGCGCACGAATCCTCAATAGAAATTTCCTAATAAGTTTCCCCACATTGCCTTAAAATGGCATCAGCGAGTGCAACATATGCATCATTCCAAGATAGAGCCCAAGGATTCATTAATGGATTAGGCGATAAATAGTGAGTATTTTTGATCTGAAAAATTAAGGATTTCTTTAGATATGTACATATGTATGTACGCACCTACAGGTCGAAGTACAAATGTTGTTATTGACATTATCAAAAATTATATTATTTACATCATGGTGTCATGGTATTCTTATAAATTAGTAATAACCATGATTTAATTAATTTATTATTTATATATAAAAAATATAGTAATACTCTATATATAAATAACTGCTGTAACTGCATTGGCCACGTCAGTTTTATATGTACATATGTATATTATTTGGTGTGTAACAATTGGCAGCTCGAATATATTCTTTGAACTTTATGAAAGATATATTCCTTAATCATAACACTTTTACATATTGTTTTTGAAAAAAGTATAATTTCATAATAATTTCTTTTTATAGTGAGCCGTATGTGCGCACTCATTTGGCTAAAGTGTACATGGTACTAGGAGCGGCCACTGCAAGTACTGCCGTGGGAGCCTTGCTGCAATTATGGGGCTTTATTAACCTTGGATTATTGGCAGCTTTAGCTTCCCTAGGCCTAGTATTAGGACTCCATTTCTATAGAGACGATGGAAAAAATTATTATACTCGCTTTAGCATGTTAATGGCATTTGGCTTTTGTTCCGGCCAGACACTGGGGCCGTTAATGCAGTACATAATAAGCATTAATCCATCGATAATAATTACTGCACTCACAGGCACTGTGGTAACCTTCGTATCACTCTCATTGGGTGCTTTGCTAGCGGAACGTGGTAAATACCTCTTTTTAGGCGGACTGCTCGTCAGTGTCATAAATACCATGGCAATACTTAGCCTTTTCAATATGTTTTTCCAGTCATACTTTGTTCAGTTGGTAAGTTCAATCCGTGCATTTATTATCAATTTAATTTAACTTTTTAATCTCAGGCTCAACTGTACGTTGGGGTATTTGTAATGGCCGCTTTTGTGGTGTTTGACACACAAAACATAATAGAAAAATGTCGGGCCGGAAACCGTGATGTCGTACAACATGCCTTGGACTTGTTCTTTGACGTTTTGAGCATGTTTAGGCGTTTATTAATCATTTTAACTCAAAAGGTATATAAGTAATTAGTATTTAATGTGTTTTTAGACAGTGGGTGTTGTTGTTGCATAAAGTTGAATGCTTCTATATGATTTGGCTGTTGCACTTTTAGAGTCTTTGTAATCAATTAATTGAATTGAATGTCGGGAAAATTAATATTTATTGCTATAGAATTAACATGTTCAGAGATTGAGTAGATGAAATTAATTCTCGTATACAAACATATTAATTTTAAATTTATAAACTAAAATGAAACATTTTACAGCTAAAGCAGCAATTACTTTCATAATAATTGAACTAAACGCTCAATATGTTATGAAGATATAAACGAAACAAGCAAATCCAATGATGTCAAACTGAACTTAGAAATTAAAGCTGCACCCAATGGTAGTCGAAACACATTTTACCCATTTTTATGTAATATTTATGGAAAAATCAACTATTTTGTGAATAAAAAATATTTGTAATTTAATTTTTACAGGAGGAACGTAAACGTGAGGAACGTCGTAAAAGAAACTAAATAACAGTCCGACCTGGAATGTCAAATCCTCTTAATATTTAATATGTTATAACTTTTCGAAAATAACTTATACCATAAATTCATTATTAATATTACATTTTAAACCGAATAGAAATTCAACTGTTTTGTTTATTCCATTTTCGCATCATCTATTGAATTAATTGGGTGGACCTTTTATTATTAATTTAGTGGATTGTGGTAAATGGATAAAAATTATACTTATTCAATTCATACAAATAAATTGGTAATCTTATTTTATTAGCGAGTAAAAATGTTTCTTATTAATTAGTGAAAGCTATTAAATCAACGAAAACATTAGTCACTATTGATTTTTAACTCAGAAAGTAGCACTTGAACAGTCGAAAGTTCCTCGTATGATTTTTTTGCTTTTTCCAAATTTTCTAATAAATTCAAAAATATTTCACGTGCCCCATCGTAATCAAGTACCGCTACACAACCGATAGGTGCCTTTTTAAATAAAGCGTATGCTAATTGCCGCCGACGCAATGCAAAAAGATACGGAATATTTAGTTGCTGGCACTGTTTTTTCATATTATGAATTGCTGTGTCTAAGCCGTCTAAAAATGAAAGGAATTCAATTTATATTCAAAATGATAATGGCAATATTTCAAGATGATTTCCACCTTCTTCTCCAGACTTTTCGCAGTCCGTGGCAATTATGATCAATTTCACTTTGTTTATAAGTAAAAAGTTTTTAGCTTCGCGAAATCCTACCACGAAACGTCTGTGAGCATGAGCTTTTATTGCATTTAGAGTTAAGGCCCGCTTTTGAAACCGATCCAATTCGCGAAGCAGTTGCTCCGTAAGTTGTGCTAAAATAGGTGTGGTACAATTGTCACAATAACTATAAAAATACAATTTAAAAATGACCTTTGTATTTCTAATCACTCATTCATACCTTCTAAAACGTCTAGAATGAATATTTTTGACAGTTTCTTGTTTAGATTCAGATATTTCATTATGTTCGTTTTCAGAAAGTTTTCCTGCTTGTTGAGTAAGTGTAGAGGTTTCTTCATATTTTGACTGAGGTCGTTTCTTCTGCTGCCTATAGCGAAGAATAGCTTTTTTCAATTTTGTATATTTCTTACGTTTTCCACCTTCTTTGGTCTTTCCTCTTTTTTTCCAACTGTTGTTTGCTCGGGATCTAAACTTGCAGGCAATGTTACGATTTACATTATTTACTTGTTTCTTCTGTTTAGAAGTTTTGGTGAGAAAGTGCAATAAATTAAATGTTGCACCACCATCTTTAAGGGTACTCTTTTTTCGAAACTTTGCATTTTTAATTTTCTGGAAAGGATCCTCGCTTCCTCCTTTTTGTTGTTGTTGCTTTATATCATCAAATGTTTTTCTATCTATGACGTGTAATTTTTCGGAAGTTGACATAATGACGCAACGTTGCTTTTTGAAGTTTTTTTTTATTTTCAATTTAAAATAATATCAATAAGCTTTGTATGAATACAAACAAATCCAAGCCTCATATTTTGATTAAAAATTTTTGTATACATATGTATGTATAAACAAAAGCAGCCTGGGTTACTACAGCTGTCGTAGTTAGGCAGCGTTCTCACTATCTGCCAATGACCATGATTAATAACAAATGTTATTTTTGTGATCTTGTTAATCTTTTTTTGTTTCACCAGCAAAAAGAAAAAAACCAGAAAATGCCTTACTAATCGAAATGTTAGGATTTGTATTAAGACATAATACATATTTCGGTAAAATAACCAATCCATTTGAAAATTGAATATATTGTATCTATACATGCATACAAATTCTTGGTTTAACTTCTTTAATCTAAATACACTCACATAGGCAAAACTCAAGATTTGAAACCAAGTACATAAATAAATTTATTGGGGCATATTTTTAGAAAATGGGTAAAATTTTTTTTATTTCCAAATCTACTTCTCTCCATTCAGACATTTGTTCATCTGCAAATCGATTTTTAACTAATTGCTGTAAATATATGTCCCCGGAAATATGTTGGTCGGCCAAGGTTCTTATATATTGTAAACATTTTCGCATACCCTGCGAGTAAAGTTTTCGGCTACGACAAAAACTGAGTAAAGCTTTTAACTGTTCCACCGGTTCCATTTGAGCTAAGGTAAAGCTAAAAATATTACGAACATCCGATTTCAAGTGCCTAGGAAATATGCGAGTATCGGCTGGACGACTTCGTGGAAATACAATCAATGTAGGAGTGTTTTCAATTTTAAAGGCCCAGGGTAGCTCATCATATAGAGTATTTATGCGTATTATTTGAATACCAGATGAATCATCCAGTAGAGCGGCTAATTGTACAAGTGACTGTGAGAAAAGAGTCGAGAACATGCAGTGTGGCGAATAAAGCAGTACAATAGTCGTTAAATTAGATCGTTCTATTTTCTTTAAAAAAAATTCGCTATTTATATTTTCAATAAATATTTTATTTTGCGTGAGCTGAGAATATATTTTCAATTTGCTTGCAGTTGTATATGCCGTAAGGTTGTTATTGTAGTAGCTTCGTACAAAATGTTTCAGCGCTTCGTACGTGAAAGCAGTTTGGGACAAGAAAATACTCTCTTGCATTTTGTCAGCAATTATCATTGTAACGGATTTATGCGCGGAAGTTGACTTAACTCCTAGAGACTGTAAAAAGTCGAAGTGTTTATCCTCATCCAAAAGCACAACAGAAAGTGATACGTTTTGCTCCGATTTGAAATCAAGCCAGTTATTATCAACAAAGTTTTTCAAATATTTCGCAGCCAACATTTTCCTACTTGGCGAATCAAATTGATCATTTCGAAAGCAGGATTTCAGTTTTTCAATCATCAATTCAGAGTTGATTTCATGATTAGGATTGTGAGTTATGTTGTGTATAAAGCGTGTAAGAAAGCTATTTAAGGAGTAGTAATAGCGCAAATTCCAATGGCTAATGAATTCTTTTTCATAACAACTGTTTGGATTTAAAAGGTCAATTTTTTCCAATGTTTCCTTAACATATTCCAGATCATGATGCTGAGCAATGTCCTGGTTTAAATATTGTGTAGAACATAGCTTGTTTGCAGATATTTCCGGATTGGTTAGAGTTTTCATATATTCATAGAAATAATCACTTCCAACTAAGATCAATACAGGCGACGAGCGTAAAAGTACAGGTATACTTTTTGGTGAATTATATTCATACAAATTGCTCACGGACCGTACAAACTCATTCTTTAACCACAAAACAATATTGCTTACATTCCATTTGATTGGCGGCTCGTTCATACCTTTGTTACTAATAAATAATAATTGTGATTTCTCATTGGTGTTATTCACTTCATTCAATCCAAGATCAGCCGCTTTACCGAATACTGCTGCAAATCGAAAACTACCCTTTGGGTCAATTTCAAGCCACTTTACTCCGGCACTTACAAATTTTCGATACTCTAGTTGTGATTCAAAATCAAAGGCACCTAATACGACAGCATCTCTCTCCATGTTCAATTTTTTTAATTCTTCTTTTGTCTGTACTCGTTCCACTGGATAAAATAGGTTCTCAATAAATCTGTGAAGAGATTTTACATTCCATTCTCCATTATATTGCACTGGAATTCGATGACCGTAATGTACAATTAATGTTGGCCACTTATTAGGAGCACCGGAACCAAGAGAAAACGAATGTGTTTTGCTGCAATTGCAGGCAAGATGATAACAATCGATAGTAGCAAAATAAATATGCTTTTGATAATCTACCGCAATCTGGTCATACACCTTAAGTGCAGTACGACTATCATCATTCCATGATGCGTGATAAAATAGAAATGATAATTCAAATTTCTCAGCTTCCTGGCGTATTTCGTTGACATCTTTTCCTGGGCAAACAATAGTTGATGCGATTCCTATGACAATATTTGTTACAGTTGAAAATATAAATAAAACGTAATATAAAATGTTTTCCTGAATCAACATTTCTCTAATTAGATGTAAACAGACGTCGGTAATTTTAGTACGAATAAGAAAAACAAATTTAAAAAGAGTCGGGAGTTGCCAGCGTCGAGCAAAATGCAACCCGGTGTGTTCGTTAGGAAAAAATTTTTAGATATTTATTAATTTCACAAAGAAGATACTTATTCGTAAAAATAAACATAAACAGGCCTTTATCTCACTAAAAACTTATAACAAAAAATTAATAGTATGACCGCAAAAAAAATTATGAACTTATTTAAGTTTGCGAAAAAAAGAATTAGTCTAGACTTGATTAAATATGCTGAATGAAAACAGCTATAGCCAGCAAGTTGTAAAACAGCTGTTTTTTTAGGTTACATTTGAATCTATTAATTTCATGCGTTTTATGTTTTTAATTATTTTCAAAAATATTTTAATGAAATTAGTAATTATATGACATCTTTATTTATTAATTAATTTTCAATGACAGCAATTTGAACGAATTTCCCATCCACACTAAACGTAAATTGCTAACAATTGTTACTGCCTAGCAACTCACTCAACAACACTAATCTTAACTGGAGGAAATTTTTTAGCTAAGCTCAATGCATTCAAATTTAAAAAACTTTCGGGGTTTTGGAATGTTAAGAATTATACCTCTTTATAAAAAAATTACAAATTAAATTTATATATATAACTGTTTAATAATAATATTTTCTAGTAGGCTCATATTTAATACAAATCAAAGCAAATTTATACTCGTAGGTTATATACAATATGAAAACTAAATAAAGTTGAGCTTTTTTACAATGTATTTAAAATAAGAAATAATACAAACATTTGAAAGTTACCAGATTACAGCATACCGATTTTACAAACTTACTGAATTATTTCATTACAAGTAATTAAAATTACTTTCCCCTTTTTAACAAAACCCAGAATTTATAATATTTCACATTTTTAAGTTGAAGTACTAAGAGCAGTAGTTAAATTCAAAATACTCATTAAAGCACCGACAAGTATTTTTTCCGAAGCATAAAGTATTCCGCTCACGGTTGCTGTTATAGGCTGAAAGTATATAATCGTATTAGGTTAGCATTTATTGTGTATGTATGTTTGTACGTGTATTAATAAGCGGGGTCCCTTTGTGTGGATCGTAATGCTGCACTACCCATGTTGCATACCTTCCGTCCATAGCAACCTACCTTATGAGAGCGCAATGTTAAAAGTTGTCACCGCTTGCCCATGCCGTTACTGACGGTTGTCCCGCAGAAAATACTCATGTTTGTATATCCTATTACAGTCGAGTTGTATGGCTGTGCGGTATGTGAGATGGGTACTTGCAGCATAATAGTCACTACAGGATAAAAATATAATACAAATAAAATACGTACACCGAGCAAATATAATGTAATCACGATTACACGTTGCAAAATCACGATCACAATAGATAAACCCGTCAACATTCCTAGCAATGTTATTAAGGTTAACACTTCCACTAAGCGCACAGCCACGGCCATTTTATCTTTTCATAGACAAAAAATTTATTTTCGCTTGAAATTTCTATTTTTTCCGTTTGATACACTTTTTCCGAATTTTTCTTTTTATATTTTTAATAATTTTCTTTCATAGCAACTTTGATCTTTCTATGTGATGGAATTTTTTCTTCATTCTCATTCATTTCTTTACTTATTTTTATTTATTTTGAATGCTTCTGAGTGGAATTGCGTTTAATCGAAAAGGTTAAAAGCAAATTCTAAAAGCTTGGCCAAAACCATTACCTGTAACAAGGATTATATTAATATTGAAGACAATATTAAGGCATGTATTTGTGCACATACCAAAGTATCTGCTATGATACTGAAAGATTTCAACACAATCGTCGTAATTTCTTCGGGATCATAAAACTGAAGTATTCTGAATACAATCTTTGGGTACAAGGAATTAGTTGGTTGAGTTAAATACTCTCGTGATGAAATGTTGTAAGGTGATACTCACAATTGCAGATGCTATTATGAATAATGGCCAAATTACAGCCATTACTAAACGAACTGCCCATATTATAGTATACCAAGTTATAAGGAATAATCCTATGTAGGCAACGATTGTACCATAGTCGTTAGGCAAATTCATGTTTTTCGATAACCATTCATAAAGCACACAATGTAAAGGTAAGTCCTTTAAACAATTGGTAAGAAAAGATCTTAAAGTTTTTATTAAATTATTTTATTCATTTTACTCACCGTCCAATTGCCAATTTCGGTTGCTTGGAAAGGGGAATATGACATTTTTTTTTAGGAATTTTGGAGAATTTAATTTTGAATAAAAAGTGTTTGCCATCCAAGATTTCTGGGCTAATTTGTTTTATGTCGATTTTCTAAAATAAAAGCAATTTCAAGAATTGTATATAGTATTAATTTGGGTGTACAATATGTATGTACATATGTATTTATATAGTAAAATCTTTTGGTATGTTTTAATTATATGTTGTTATATGACAATCTTAGTAAATAGTGCCTCGCACAGTAACTAAATTCCACAAGACGTTTTCAATAAAGGAGCCAAGTAATCAAATCCCTATATTTATATTAAGATATTAGATAAAGATGCGTGGCCATTCGAAATACATGCTACACAACTATTGTATTTTACAATTCAACTTAAATAAAATTATTACTGTTTATTCACATCAGTCCAATCATGTACGTCTAAGGCATCTGGGTGCAAGTCCTGACCTTAATAATTTTCGTGATTACAGGAAATTTCTTATTTTAGTGAATTTATACGAAAAGCGGCTATTTGTTTACTATATTTATTTACATAGATATGTATGTATTTGATGAACAAATTTAGAGTGTTCGGTGAGCTGCTGAGCAATAATAATTGTTATTAATTTTTGTTGAACAGAGTTAAATTTCCAATAGATACAATTTCTACATTTTGTTTAGAAGGGAAGGTTCAAATTCTTCCTTGAAAAATTTAGCAAAAAAAAATATAAATGTTTTTTAATTACTTTAATGCTTTAAAGAATGAAAATATGGTGTCAGTGGAGTGAAATCGTCGCCCGCACACCACAAACAAGAGAATTATAATATAATATATCCTACCTTTCGTACAATGCAAGCTGATTTTGGACTCCTTTCATTTGACGATTTTACTGAATTTGCTGAGGGTTTTATCAAATAACAGTACAAGAAATGGTATAATACTCAGTTAACATTGTCTGCTAATATAGAAAAGACTTCTTGAAAACCTGAGCAAGTAAACCAAGTACATAAATCTTCTTTCACACAGAGGGCTATTAGGAAAATATATATATGAATATTTATTGGCATCTTTATGTTTTGTTGAAATACAATAATATTTATTTAAATACCATTAAAAAGTTAAAAATGCCACTAAATAATTTAATGGCAGAAAACAATAAACTGTATAAATGAACAAATTCAAATTCAAGCTAAATAAATAGCTCCCAAAATCGATGAGAGCTCTCCAAATATTTCTCTTTCGGATCATAAGACATTTTGCCTCTTTCTGGCCGAACAGAGCTCTAAAAACAATAGTTCTGTTGGGGGAGTTCATTGGCAGTACTGAATTTTACTAAACTGCGTTCGGTGAGCAAAAATGCCAATAAAATTTGCAACGGAGAACGCAACTTTGACATTTCTCACCGAACAGAGGTAATAGCGAATGTATTTTTTTTTATATCTATTTCGTTATTTCTGTCAAAATCATATGTATCTAAAGGCTGCCAAGTCCCATTATTTTTTTTTTCGAAATTAGGAAGATACAAATGTACCTTTTTTACCAATCTCCGGCCAAAGCGCTGGTAAGAAATTTTACGAGACCGTCATACTTAGCTGGCTTGTTTGACATATACTTTCTTTTGTTAAATAAGTTAATAAATTACTATATAATTAATTCAAATTTGTGTTATAACATTTTTGTTTGAATGGCAAATGCCTTTATTTTCACACTCATTAATTTGAAATTACATACAGTTTAGTTATTTTATCAATAAAGTTTTTTAGCTTTTCGGTGTGGTTGTTTCTCTATTACATATAGGTATATAGTTCACATTTTACATGTACATGTATATATATTTGAATGCATCTTATGTATTTGTTGAATCCCGCTCTGATTGATTTCTATATATGCAACTGACATTTCAATTATGTTTCCTATATTTTTCATTTACATTATCATATATGTATGTATATATTGTAAATTTAGCTTAATTTTAAACTTAAAATTTTCGAATACCGTTGTAATGTGTTCTGCTTTTGTAACGCTAGGGGCAAAGCCAAACATTCTATAATCAATTAAAACTAAAGTCGTTAATCATATATTTTTAAAAAATAATGACTTACTATATTTAAGTAATATATAAATCAAAGTATTTCAAAAATGAAAAAAAATATATATACGAATATATTCAAAATATGTTAGATCATTGCGGAATAAAAACATTTTGAAAATATATCCAGTGATGCTAAAAATCAGAACAGAACAATCCACAATTGGACCTCAAAAGCAAATAAAAATCTAATACTATTGGGTCAAACATTGTGTATTTGAAAACACAAAAAAATAATAATAATAATTATAATCCAAAATTAACTGTTACAAAAAACGTTTAAAGCTTTTAACGACCTGTTTAAAATTTTTGTATTTAATTACAAAGACCAGACGATCCAAAAAGTTTTTATATCGAATTGCTTAATTTTTTGATAAATAACTTATTGTACTTATTTGCTTGCTGCATTTTTTTGTTCTAAATGCATTACAAACTTAAACATGGGATTTTTTTACGTTGCCACTTCAAGCGAGGACATAAAAGGAAAACTGAATTTATTTTATTGAGCCATCATTAATTGCTGTACCCATGCTGCTTATTTATTAATGGACAGACGCTCTACACTTGCCAGCAGTTCGTCCGCTGTCTGCGAAACAACCTGATCTTGGTCGTCGCTGGTACTCAAATTCTGTAGCCGTTGCTCAAGGGCAGATAGATCTTCAAGCTCACGTTGTTGTTTTACCATGTAACGCAAAATGAGCGTTGTCAACATACACATATCTTCCAATATTTTTGCTGATTCTGGTGTGGGACGGTCATAGCGTGTTCGCAATAATCGTAATTTTGCCTCTGCTAGTTCTAAGGGCGTTTTACCACTGCGATCGTACATATGCACACTTGCGCCACCCTGAAGAAGTACACGCACCACTACATTGAAATTATTAGAACTTGCTGAAATAACGGCAAGATGTAGAGGGGTATTGCCAAGTGAATCAACAACATTAGGATTAGCGCCGAACTTCAGCAACTGTTGGACGATTTGTATGTAACCACGACAAGCGGCCAAATGTAATGGACTACGTTTATATTCATCAGCCGCATTAGGATCTGCCCCAGATTCTAATACACGTGTTAATAATTCAATATTGCAGGTGGTAGCGGCAGTGCGCAGCTTGCGTCCATTTGATTCCGCCAAAATATTGTTATAATTTGACCTTAAACGCTGCTTACTACGCGTACGAAGTCGCATTTTAAATTGTGATAAATGACTTCCTGATGGCAGGTTGCTCGGATGAAGTAAATAATCGGAATTGAGCGGCAGTGGTGGCAAATGTGGTAACGCAAAATGTTCGCCGCGATTCAGCTGGAATGCATTCGGACTGAAATTTGGCCACTCATGTGTGTTAGGCGATGACGTAGGAGTTGGTGGCATTATTGCTGGCGGGGGAGTAATATCAATTATTTTACTTATACCAGTTCCAATGCCCATTGATAATCCGACACCAATATTTACGGCGACACTGCTGACCCCATCGTTACTATCATTGCTTGTCTCTACGCCGGAATCATTCGCGGCCATTGCTTGTGTGTGTGTACCTTGCGCTTTGCGCCCTGTGATATAAATAACGATTTTACAGATCTTGTTCTATAAATTACAATGTAAATTAATATTAAGAACTGTTCTTTTCTTTGTTTTTTTGTTAAATTTTCTTATTATTTCACACGTTTTCTTAAATAAACAATATTTTTTCACACATTGGAAAATTTTTGTTTTGTGTATTTTGTGTTTTCTTCTCTTCTTCGTCTATTTTCAATAACACTCCATTTAAGTTGTCAAATTATATAGTTGCCAGGTTATTTAAATTTATCCATTAAGGGTTTTCAATGTTGGTGGATTTCGTACTACCTGAATTGAGATAACCTGTGGTTTGTATTTTTAATTGAATCGCCAATTTCATACCATTATCTAAAATTCTTCCTCACCTGCTGGTCTAACTGGAAATAATGCAGCGAATGGAGAGCTTCAATAATTCACAGCCAACAGAAGTTGATGCTGCGCTAAGCTTCTCAAATTACATAATTATTTAATATAAATTAACTGATGGCACTTAATAAATGATTAACTGGTATTAATTATTTATTAAATATTGTGATATGTTAGAAAATTATTTATTATAATATCTAATTCTTTGAAAATAAAGTATGTTAGAAAACGGAGAGAAGTGTAAAGCACTACCACGCTTCATCGGGCAGGGGAGGAACGGCCACCTAACGACAATCTCGCGTAAAACTACGAAAGATATCATAAATGCATGATTTCGATGGAAAATATGATGAAGAATCTGTAACATTTTCTAATGCTCGACATTTATTTTTATTAAAAATATATGTTTGTAAATTTTATAAAGTTCAATTAAATACACACACTACAATAATAATACAACATTAAATATTAAGGTATTAAGTGATGTATTCAAAAATGTATCTTGTAATCTACTTAATAAATTAAACTAATTAAACATAATACTGTTAATTTTTCCTCTTATTACATTCCTTTTAAGTTTTATGCCTAATACTATTGGTTAGATGTACATAAATTGTAAAATAATATCGATACATGTTTGTCAAATAACAATTTTTCTTTCGGAAAGTTACATATATTAGAAAAAATTATTTATTCATATAATAGAGTTTGATAGTTTAATATTCACTTAAGGTTCATAATATTTAAGTACAGACGAATGTATATACAAAGATATACCATTTTGCATTGCCAAAGTCTTCAGTCTATTTCGAATGAGGCTGCTTTCAGCACACTGCCGTAACAGCTTTTCTATTGTAATGGAGTCTTACATAAGTTTAATCAAATGCTACCTTTCTAGTAAATGATGTAAGGGATGAAATCTCACTGGGATTCGAATCGGATGGCAAATGGCTAAATTCGATTTCTTCACTTGCTGCTGCAGCTACAATATTTTCATTTGATTGCGTGGTTTCGTCAGAACTATTGGAGGGCCATTGTTTGTGACTTGGCGCATAGAGAATAAGTAGTGCGAATATATAAATATTCCACATGCCGTAAACGCCCGTCAAGAAGGCTGAAGTTAACTGTATCTCCATGTCTTCGTCCCATTTCCATTGACCTTCGGCTACTTGTCCCATTATGAATCCCGCCACTGTTAAGCCTGCACAGAGCAGTGTAGCTAGCATAAGAAATTTAAACCGATAGATCAAACCTAGAATGTGTTCCATTATTATTAGAGACGAATATTAATATGAAGGTAAAATAATAAAACTGACCTTCATAGTGTAACCGCCTTGCATTTGACATAGATGGTAACGATGTTCGCTTTGCGCCAATATTTTTAAAGACCTTCCACACCATGTAACATAGAAAAAGGAAATAAATTACACCGGAAATTCCAGCCAAAATAATAAAGCTCATTGCCACTCGTGCGCCAATTGGAGTCGTCCAAATTGAATAGAAGGGATTTCGCATCTGAACGCCGCGTTCACATATATCAAACATGAAAAGCGACAAGCACCCAACAACAACAGCAGACAAATGCTTCCAGTAACGTGAACGTATTGTTGATTTATATGGTGATTCCTGAATAAGCATATGCTCTCCAGCAAACACAAGCCAGAAAGAAAGTAACATTGCATAAAAAACACCTTGACGAATATCGCTTAAGAGTAACATATATGGCATTTCAATGAATAACGACAAAAATTCCAAAGGGAAGTTGAGAAATGTTAAAGCGGCACCCAGGTATATAAGCATATACTCTAATAAGGCTGGCGAACGTTGAAGGATATGCACTCGACGCCAAAACCAAATCATTATTGCGACCACAAACGGAAATAGAACGGTCTTTAGAGACAACCACACTTTTGTGAAACCACCATTTTGATGAATTACTGTTAGGGTTAGGTCGTGCATATGTCCCAAATTAAGATTCATCTTCATATCGGTATCAATGGGAAAACGTAAATTAAGTAAGTAGAAATCATGATGAAGGTCTCCCAATTCGAATAATGGCACCATATCACAAGAGAATAGGGATTCCTCTTGACTCGCAGTTTTTAAAGAGCAATCAAGATAACGTTTTTCCAAGGCATGTGCATACAACTTCCAATCATTTTGCCGGTCACCCTTATTTCTAAAAAAAAAAAAAACAATCAAATATAGTATTTATCTATATCAGTAATAGTTTCAATCGTAAGAGAGAAAAATAGATATTTACGAAATATGGTAAAAGTACATACCTATATGCTAAACGTGTATCGACAGTCAATTGAAGATCCTTTGGAGGGTCTATAAGCGAGACATCAGAATTATAAGCGATATCAACTTGTAGTACTCCAATTAAATTTTGTTGCCAACGTGAATAATCTAATTCTTCGCCACGGGGTAGTGGCATTTGGAATATGTATACTATCTCATTGGCCATTTTTGTGTCATGCCGTTCGATATCCTCTTGAGAAACCGAGGCACATTTTCCATCCCCACGTAAATGAAGCCAAAATGTTGTGTCATTTTGACGTCCGGGTGTATCTTTACATACCATAGCAAGAATTACTTGATGACCGGCTGGTAGTGGCGCCAGTAGACCACCCAAGAGGAAGCAGGCGACTTGGCTTAACAACAGGAGCGTAACTAATACGGACAATTTACGCCCGCTAAGATTCTCAAGAATGGTGCCCGCCATATTTTATGTATAACAGTGCCAAACTTTAATTTTTAGGAATGCACCTAACTATATCAATTACAATTTAAACACAAATCTTTGATACACTAAAGAAAATATAAAATAAAGCGTCGTCGCTATCAACAACTACAAGTGCGCAAGAACAAGCAAGTCAGGACTGCCAAGAGTTTTAAAAATTTGAATTCAATGTAATTTGAAGGCCAGCAGCAATGAAACTTTGATAGGCCGTAGATAATAGTTTAAAGATATACAATTTGTATGTATAAATGCAAAAAACCTAAAAAATTTTCATTACATAACTAGTACATCCTTGTTTTAGTAAATTACTATATTCTGAGTTCACAAATTTTATTCAGTTTTGCTAAAACTGCCGCAAAAAGGGACAACAGCGCCATCTGCACGATGCACGCCAAATGTGGATTTTTAAACCGAACCTCTCCTATAAGTTTGACATTTGGCAACGAGAAAGTGACAACTGGCATTCAATGGACATCGACGTGTCAAAAAAATAAAGGTTTTGATAGATTTGTTTGCCTTATATTGTGTTTTTTATTAGAAATAAATATTTATAAATAATTATAAAACGTGAAAATTGCAAGGGCGAACGGGCTAGGACGGCAGAAATATGGTTTTGGCAGATTTAGGTCGAAAAATCACCTCAGCGATTCAATCGCTTAGTAAGGCGACGGTCATTAATGAGGATGCTTTGAATTCAATGTTAAAAGAAATATGCGCAGCGTTACTAGAAGCTGATGTGAATATTCGTTTAGTAAAGCAACTACGCGAGAATGTAAGGGCTGTCATTGATTTCGATGAGATGGCTGGTGGCTTAAATAAGCGACGTATGATACAATCGGCCGTTTTTAAAGAGTTGATTAAACTAGTCGATCCAGGTGTAAAGCCGTACCAGCCAGTGAAAGGAAGACCCAACGTTATTATGTTCGTCGGCCTACAGGGTTCCGGCAAAACCACAACATGTACCAAGCTAGCCTATCACTACCAAAAACGCAATTGGAAATCTTGTCTTGTTTGTGCTGATACTTTCCGAGCTGGAGCATACGATCAAATAAAACAGAATGCAACAAAAGCTCGCATTCCTTTTTATGGTAGCTATACAGAAATCGATCCTGTAGTCATAGCGCAAGAAGGTGTAGAAATGTTTAAACGTGAAGGATTCGAAATTATTATTGTGGATACATCAGGTCGTCACAAACAAGAAGAATCTTTGTTCGAAGAAATGTTAGCTGTGTCCAGAGCTGTATCGCCAGACAATATAATATTCGTAATGGACGCAACCATTGGACAGGCGTGCGAGTCTCAAGCTAAAGCTTTCAAGGAAAAAGTTGATATTGGTTCAGTTATAATTACAAAGCTTGACGGTCATGCAAAAGGAGGTGGTGCACTTTCTGCAGTCGCATCAACTAACTCGCCAATTATTTTCATCGGCACCGGAGAACATATTGATGATTTAGAACCATTCAAGACGAAACCATTCATAAGCAAACTTCTTGGTATGGGTGATATTGAAGGCCTGATTGATAAGGTAAAGTCGATAAAAAAAACTTGACAGTGCAAAAAATAAAAATTTGTTAATTTAATTATTTGATTTTATTTTTTGTTTTAAAAAGTACCTTAGTATGTTTGTAAATGAAATAAATTTTTGTTCATTTTCAGGTCAATGAACTTAAACTAGATGGCAACGAAGAGCTTTTGGAAAAAATCAAACATGGTCAATTCACAATACGAGATATGTACGAGCAATTTCAAAATATAATGAAAATGGGGCCTTTTTCCCAAATAATGGGCATGATTCCTGGATTTTCACAAGATTTTATGACTAAGGGTGGTGAACAGGAGTCAATGGCACGAATAAAACGTATGATGACCATGATGGACAGTATGTCCGATGGCGAATTAGATAATCGTGATGGTGTCAAATTATTTACGAAACAGCCAACACGTTATGTTCGTGTGGCCCAAGGTGCTGGTGTACTCGAAAAAGAAGTTCGCGATCTAATTTCCCATTATACGAAATTCGCAGCTGTTGTGAAAAAAATGGGAGGTGTTAAAGGACTTTTCAAGCAAGGCGACATGACAAAGAACGTCAATCCAACGCAAATGGCAAAATTAAACCAACAAATGGCAAAAATGATTGATCCACGTTTGTTGCAACAGATGGGCGGAATGGGGGGTCTACAAAATATGATGAGGCAGTTGCAACAAGGAGCGGCTGGTGGTCTTGGTGGCTTAGGAAATTTAATGGGAGGTTTTGGTGGGAAATGAAAACAGCAAGAAGCAAGATAATGTTTAGGCTTTAGTAGAAAAAATATTTCTTAAGGTTTGGGATAAACAAGAGTTGATGGAGCCGATACTCAGCTCATTACGCCAATAAATTTTTTTTCATTGTTTTCCCATTAAACAGATTTTTTTTAATATATTATTATTATGTAAATTCTTTGTTATTTGGATTGGAACAAATTCATACAAAATATCCGTTTAGACGCATATGCATGTATGTGTCATCAAGACGGTGTCAAAATAATTAATTACAATACTTAATTAATTTTGTGAAATTTTGTATTGATAGCCATTAATAAAAGCAACAACGTTAAATAAAAACAAAAGTAAAATATTTAATATTTAAATCAAGCGTAAAATTAAAATTATGTTGTATAAACGACAGAGGCCTAATTCATTTATCATGCACCATTAGGCTAAGTTGTAATAACGTAGATATTTTTTGGAACGAAGAGATTGCATGATTAATAAAAAATTAAAGGTTTACATTTGTTGATGTTGTTGTTGTTGGTGCGGTTTGCTAACCCTGCTTAGGTACAGGTTTGTTCAATCGAAGTCGCCGGGGTCATCTAGTGGGAGGTCCAGGAAACGTGCTGTTTCGATGGGATTGGACCAAAGGTCGATTTAAAGGGACATATGAAGAGGTGGTGAGCGGAGACTCTCCCCATGCTGGGCATACGTTGGATATGCTGGGGTCGAGTGCAATATCTTTGGGTTGCTTACTGTCGGAATTTTTTCATCATCGATCTTCACAGCTAGTTCAAGCCTGTACTCCTCCGTCCAGCTGGTGAAGAGGGTAGCCGAGGATTTCGTCGGTTGAATTTTCAGTTGTGCAATGAAGAAGTGAGAAAAATCGGCAAGCTAGCAGTTCACTTTCGAACAGAGGTCATCAATATCCTGGCCAGACGCCATTATCTGTTTCGAAATGTTAAAATTAAACAGTAGTGGGCAAAGGACACCACTTTGCGAAACCCCCTGTTTAATTTTTTGGGCTTCGATGCTTCACCTCGGAATAATACCGATGATTGTCGATCACTCAGGAGGCCATGACCCACCTCTGCAATCCCGGTGGTAATGAGGATGCCTCAATGTCCGTTAGTAGCACTGAGTGGTTGACGGTGTCGAAAGCTTTTGACAGATCCAGTGCTACCGGGGCAGTTCGCGCGCAGGGTCGGTTTTGGTTAAGGCCATTGACTATCTGGGTGTTTATGGCGATAAGTGTAGTTGTGGTGCTGTGTACTTTTCGGTAGCCATGCTGATGTGTTGCTGGGCGCAGATGGTGAGTAAAGGACGGGAGCAGCAAGGCCTCAAGTGCCTTCGCTACTGGGGAGAGGATAGTTATCGGCCGATAAGACTCTCCTTTCTGGGCTGGCTTCCCCGGTTTGAGTAGCGGGACCACCCTGCCCGTTTTCCACACGTCAAGTACCACTAGGGTGGGCAAAGACAAGTTGAGGTCCTTGGTGAGAAAGTCTGCTCTCGCTGGTCAAACATGTTTTAGCATCAGCATGGTTATTCCGTAGGGGTCGATGGATTTGGAAGTTTTCGTTTTTCCGATGACCCCATGAACCTCCTCCCTAGCGAAATCAAGCGCCGCGCTGGTGTTTGGCAGTTTGCGCTAACGGCGGGTCACACGTCATTTCGCTTTTTCCAACGTAGGATGCAGGCGCGATCACCGAATGAAATTTAGACAATGACTTGACTGTAGCCCTGAGCTTGGTTGCCCCAGAGGAGAGGTTGCTGGTCCTTAAGTGTTCCTCCCACTTTTTCCGCTTGTGGTTGTTAACTACTCAGCGAATCTCCGCGTTTAAATTCCTGATTGGGGATTCCCTGGATCGGAGTTCCGAAGGGTGTCGCGCTTTGGTGCTAATACCGCTGCTTCTATCGGAAAATTTGGGAGGATTTCCGCGATTCAGCATGCCGGGATGAAGCGGGAAGCAGCGGCCGCGACGACCCTGCGGAAGTAACGCACATCAGTAGTGACGTCTGGTGGAGTGGGGAGAGCACTAAAGGCGTTCTCGGTTAATTCCGTGAAGTCGGACCAGTTAGCCTTTTTAAAGTTGAAAAATGTGATCCGCGACAACAAAGTCGGCTGACCTGTCAATCGAGATTTGTATGGGTAAGTGGTCCGAAGCTAGTGTCAGTAAAGGACGCCAGACTATACTGTTTATCAGACCAGCACTCGCAATTGTTATATCCGGCGAGCTTTGGCAATTACTCATAACTCTGGTGGGGGTGTTATCGTTCTTTGTGCAGAAAGATGAATCGGCTATCTGTTCTGCCAGCTCCATTCCTCTACGGTCATTTTATAGGCTAGAATGCCTGTCTTCATAAACGCGAAGAGATAGTGCAATCTGCTCTTAATAAGTTAACAGCTTCCGAAGATTAGGTCATCTTTCCGAAGCTTTTGCATGCCCTCTATCAGGCAGACGATGAGAGAGGAGGTCTCTAGCCATCAGAAAGAAATATTTCATCCGATCAACTGAGCACTATTCCACTTTGGCGTCCACTTGTGGAACTGAAGACTCACCTCTTCGATCGCAGTGGCGTGCTAGTCGCGTCGCTTGTATGAATTCCTTTAGGCAAATCAGAAAGGGAGATTTAAAGAAGACAACTGCGCAACAACCGCTGGACAATACGGCGTACAGACAGGTACTAAGATCCCTCCCTGCGAATGGCGCCCTCGGAGTTAAATCACCATAAATAGCAGACGAAGAGCTCGAGCTGTCTCGAGAGACCCACGTAATACTGCCGCAACTTAGGTCTGAATATTACATCTATCCAGACTGAACCCCGACATACTCAAGACGAACAGCTGGTTTCCAGGACCTCCCGTTAGATGACCTCGGTGTCTTAGACCAACTAGCGTGTCCGCAACGGGCGTTGGAACAACCGCTACAACAACTACAACCAACAACAGTGAGTAGCTTTTATATCACGCCGGAAATACATTACGGGGGCTCGGCATTCTCTGCTGATGGTGCGACCGCTATTGGACTCGAACACAGACCTTCGGAATGCCAGTACGCACTGCCAGCTAATCGGCTATTGCGGCGGTCAATTTGAGTGTATTAAAAGCATCTCCACAATTAGACTTTTGAACTCACCTGATTCCGATACTCGCATTGCAATGTATGTATGTACATACATACCATATAATGACGTATTGTAATAAAAATATTGTTCATTAAACCGTTTAATTTAAATTTGGCTTAAAGTTTAAACCATTCAGGAGGAAGTTAGTCACAAACACGCGTACTGAGTATTTGTACATATGAAAATTATAGATGCCACTTTAAGTTCTCTGAACACGGCTTCGAAGGAAGAAAATGCAAGGCTTCGCTCAAACAGTCGTCCCAAAGACTATTTCATCAGATTCTGCGCCATATATTTAGTAGGACGGGTGTGATGGGCGATTTGTAAAGTTTGGTTTTGGTTCGTCTAGAGAGGACTTTACTTGCCAAAAGGCTGATGTTGTTGTTGGCTGGTTTTTAGAGAGACGAAAATATCTATGACCTGGAATTTATGGCTGAGTGTCAACAGTGGCGATCCAGTCTCTCCAAATTTCCTAAAACCATACCAGTTGGTTGAGTAGTTGGACGATTATTGCCATTGTTGTAGTTGTTTTTTAATAATTTTAACGTGTTGTGCAGTTATCAAGCGATGCTTTTTCCTAAATGCTTGACTTTTAACTAAAACAAAACATGTTTGGTTTGACAGTGTAGTTTGACGTGTAAATAAAATCAAAACAAGTTTGCTGGTTTTTTTTTTAATTTAATTTAATTTCATCACTAAAAATTAAAAATTAAAAACAAATTCGTAAAACTAGAGCGCTGTTACATTACTCACATTACCGTTACACAATACAATTAAATTAAAGTTGCATTTGCTTAAATTAAATTCCAATTGCGGGAATTAAACAATTAAATTAAAAATAAATTAACTACTTAAAAATAAAACAAATGTAAAATTTATTCTTGCATGTATGTATGTGTATATATGTGTATACTTACATACATACGCATATATATATATATATATATATATATATAAACAAAAATAAAATAGAAAACAAGAAAAAAAATATAATTACATAATTAAATGTATCAAACATACAAACATGTGGTAAGCCATTGCAGTGAAAAAAAAAAGAAAAAAAAAAGAAAAAAAAAAGAAAAAAATAAATAAATAAAATAAATTACAAAAACTACTTCGTGATGTTGTTTTAGTTTAAACCCCACTATGCATTAAAAAAAAAATTAGGAAATTGCTGCAGACAAAGAACAACAAAGAATTTTGACTTTTAGGTTTATGAGTTTTTTTTTTTATTTATTTGGATTTCTTTTTAAATGTTTGTAAGCATTTTTAGCATAAATTTTCCATTTGCAAATTAGAAGGTAAATCAAATGCTCAAGCAACAATGCGTGCGCGCAGTTTACACGCTTTTTATTTGTTTGTTTGTTTGTTTTTTTTTTTTTTTTTTTTTTTTTTTTTTTTTTTTTTTTTGTTTTTTGTTTTCTTAACTTTAGTTTTTTCTTTTTATTCATTATTACTTTTTCTTTCAATTTATTTTATTCTCCACTAATTTTTCCTTATTTTCCTCTTCCTACCATTTTAAATTTTTTTATTCATTTACAGAGTTTTGTTTTTATGTACTACTTATGTATAGATGTACGTGTATGTGTATGTACTACTACGACTGTCACTCTTCACATTTTTCTTCTTGTTTGTTTGCTTTTATTTTTGCCTTCTCTTTGTGTTTGTATGTATGTATGTATGTTGGCATGCATATTCAACTGTACACAAAATGGAAAATTACAGTTTTATTGGAAAAAAAATCGCGAAATTTCTCACACAAGTTTTTTTTTTAATTTTTTTTTAGCATGTACATACATATGTATACATATATGTGCAAAAAAAATTATAGCAACAGTTTTGTTTGAAAATTTCTACTTAAAGACATACATACATACATATATATGTACATATACAAGAATATGCATACAACAATTCGATGAAAAATGATAGCAATTACTGTTAACGCAAACTGTAAATTTCGTTTGATTTTTTTTTTCGAGCTCAAAAACGAAGCTTTCTCATATAATATTTAAGCAGCCTT